TTTTTTTTTTTGTTAGTATATCGTTTGATGATTGTGCTATTAGTTGTTATATTGTTTGATGATTATTGTGTTGCTATTCTGTTTGATGATAATTCATTTGATTGTTATATTGTTTGATGATCGTGTTGTTATATTGTTTAATGGATGTATGTTGTATTGTTTGATGTTTATTGTAGTACTGTTTGATGTTTGTTATTATATTGTTTGGCAGTTATGTCTTCTTCTTATTTCGTTCGCCTGAAATAAGTTGTCTATATCAGCAGTTTTGTCTCTTGTATAAATTTCACTGTCGTTGTTAGTTCATTCAGTGGTCCATAGAGTTTACGTTCCACTGTTGTTCTTTCTGGCCAAAAGGTTTGCCTTAATGTGTCAAATTCGGTGCAGATCTGGAGTACATGCTCTGCTGTCTGGGGCGCCTTTCCGCAGGTGCACATGGCTGATACGCCTATCTTGAATTTTGTGTACGTGTGGGCAGTTATGTTATTTGACTGTTACATTGTTTGATAATTGTGTTGTCTGTTGTTGTATTGTTTGTGATTATGTAGTTAGTTGTTATGTTATTTGATGATTGTCATTACACAGTCATTATGTGTATCATTTATTGAGTGTTGTTTGACAGTAATGTTGTGTGCAAGGGTTGTTGCATCTTTTAGTTGTGATAATACTCAATGCACTAGCGCATACTACGGTATATGTGTGTAGATCATTAGAACTTCATATCAATAAGAAATATCTTCTTTTTCTTTGCACTGGCTGTAAACTCAGGCTGACATAACTGGCTTATTTATATGCAGACTGTAGGTCTTTTGCCCTTCAGGCAGATGCATTCCGCCTTTGAAGGAAACTCTTGTACTTAGTTGCATTTTTGACCTTGGCTGCTAGCCTTGAGTGGGTGCCAGGAGCAGTCCTGGGAAGACAAGGCAGCCATGATAATTCTGACCATATCATCCACCAAGTGCCGATTGGTTTATAAAATATAGGGCCCTATACCCTATTTGTCTTGAGGCATTAAAAAGGGTCCTTTGCTCCTTTTTTTGTTTATTTGTTCAAGTGCCTATATTGACCACTTTTTATGGTGTAGGTTGAGAGTGTAGCAGCGGGGGTATTTCAACCTGGGGGGGGGGGGGGTGAGCCCCGAGAGTGTAAGGCAAGAGCTGTTGCCACCGACTGCAGGTTAGGTTGTTTTGTTTTTTTAAAACCGACAGAAAAATATCTATGACCTTACTGAGGAATTGAACCTTAGTCTCCTCTGGAGAGGCCAGCATTCTTACCTGTTCGGCTAGCCGCACAGCCAACCATCCCGTATATATCACTTAAATTAAAGGTGATATTGCTAGGCGAATGGCGTTTCTTTTTATCCATGTAAACAGACCTATAATTTTGTAGACCAGTCGGCACTTGGTGAGTGATGTCAACGACACGCCTGTTGCCTTTACTTCCCTGGATTTGACCTGGCACCACTTTAAGGTGATGTTGATCTTGGAGACAGGGTCATATTTAAAAAAAGATCTGGCTGCACCAGGACATTTGGGTGTGCAGACAAGTGCCATGAAGACACTTTTCCCCATCTCGTCTGAGCTGCTCATCTAGTCTGATCCCCCCCCCCCCCCATCTAGTCTGATCTCCCCCCCCCCCCCCATCTGGTCTGATCCCCCCCCCCATCTGGTCTGATCTCCCTCCACTGTGGCAGGCCACCTGTTGACAGAGCATTATTGATAGTGTAACTCTGGTGGAAAGTCCATCTCCTAGGAAGCATCACAGTTATTTTCTGGTCAAAATATTCTTCTTCTTACGTAGGTAGGTGTTTTGCTGGAAGGGTGGGGGGGGGGGGGGGAGTCACGTTTAACCAGCATCCCCCAAGGGGGAGCGTTAGGTTATAATTGTGACTAGCTTATGTGCGCCACAGAAAATGGCTTAGCATTGCACGCTACCAAGAGCCCTGAAAAGGACTCATGCAGTGTTGAAGACAGACCCAAATACTGTCCTGACAGGCGAGACAGTCGTCTACGGAAACCCGATCATCTATGTTTCTTCTTCATATCCTTTTTTAATGCTTTGGGTGTCGAAAAATAAGGTTCTGCTTCCTGCTCTTCTGGCCACCTCGACCATAGCCACAACGTGCTGTTGTAAAGTTTCTCTTTGTTCTTTGTCCACCTCGTGCTCTGAGCCCTCCTCTTTTGGTGTATGCCTGTATGGTAAGGCGTCACAAGGCATTCTTTCTAAGTCGGCAGACTATTTGATTTGCTGTCTTTGAATACAATCTGGAATTGATTCTGTGCCGACTTTTTCTCTTACAACCTTATTCCTGATTTTATTACTTCTAATCACTCCTGCAGCCCTTTCATACATCTCATTTCCATGGTTACCGGGAAGGCTAACCAGGTCAACAAATGCCCGCAGAAGCCGGATGTGTTGGCCGAAAGGTGCAAATATCACAGCCATGCTGTAAACGGACACAACGCAATTACATCTTCGGATGACGCAGAAAAAGATTTCCATGGTTACTAATTGTTTCCTGGTTTATTATGAGTGACCATGTTTGGCACTGGTAGCATAGGATGGGAATGGATATGCTCTGTATGAGATGATACTTTGTGCTGATTGGGACTGTCTTGTGTTGTAAGAAGTGAGGGCTCGCTGCCTGGATACTTGAATATCCGCCTTCGCTGCAAAAAAGATATAATGGTTCTTACAGGTATGACTTGAGAATGACAGCATACAAATAAAAGATATACAAATAAAATACACAAAACTGACAGCGTCAATCAATCTTTGTTATTTATTCAGTGCTTTCAATTCCAGCGTCATCTCTATATAATTTTTGTGTGCCGCTAAAAAACGAATAGCAAAAATAAATCAACATAACGGTGCCACTAGTGATTTCAGTATACAACAAAAAAAGGTTCAATCTCCATAAGTACATTTGCCTGCGAGCCCGAATGTCGTGGGGTTCAAACCTGCATTAAATGAGACCTTTTAAAAAAGGATCTTGGCCCAGGTTGACCCAACCTAAAATGGTACCAGGTAAAGCCCTGGGAAGTAAAGGTGACCGAGTGCTGGTGCTCTATAAGAGACAGGGCTAGCACTTAATATAACAAATAGGGCTCAGGGTGTGGGAAAGGGTGCTTTGACATTCCCACAAATGGAAGTCGGCTGCAACGACTCCACTGCTGAATGTGTGATATGTGCTGGGACCACAAACCGCAGCGTTACCGTGGTACTTGTGTCTGAAAGCCAAGAGAACGTTCTTTCCTCAAAAGCCTGCAGCAGGAATCGAACCCAGGTAAATGCTGGAGGCTGCACAACGAAACCTTTTCAGAGCACATAACTGAACACAAAAAACTGAATGCTTATGATAGCATTATATATAGTTATGAAGTGCGGAGGAGCAGATAGATCATTACGGTCTAAGGAGAATAGTGCTGCAAGGAGTTAACCAGGGGATCTGGCCGACGCTCAACACTCAGGGGAAGGATGAGACAGATAAACAATCAGACAGTTACTGCACCATTGGAATTGGAACTCTTTGCTTGCTGCAGAAGATAGGGACTGGCACTTATTCTAGTGTTCCGCGTGCTGTGATGTCGATTCTTAATTCAACATACAAAATTATGATAGCATTATATGCAGTTATCATAGCACTAAATAAATTCTGATTGCATAACATAAATTCCTGATCAAGTATAAATAAACTAAAAGCTGCAGAGATGTGGTTTTTATAAATGAAAGATGAGAATATCCGGAAGAGATTTAAAAAAAAAAAGTTATGAAGATGTCCAGAAAAAAACTGATTCAGGAAAAGAACTGATTGCTCACATCAAAAGCAGACAATCTACATTTGTTGGTCGTGACATGAGGGAAAAGTGGAGTACATTGTGACAGTGGGAAAGCTGGAGGGGGAAAAAGGCACAGAGAGACCAAGAGAGAAGATGTTTGGACAGTCTGACATCATGGCACGGAGGAATATCTGTGTCAGAGTTGACTGACAGTATACGAGACAGACTTTAAAAGAAAAAAAAAGATATTGTATAAATCCTTACAGAAAATCCTGATAACACCATATAAAACCTGATAGCGCAGTTACATTTATGACAGCACTACATTCATTTCTGATAGCACTATTCAGACACAGATTATCTGTACAGATGGCTTTGTGTTGTGAGGCAGACGAAGTGCACGGGGGTTCATAGCAAAACCAAATGGAGGTCGCTTGGTGCAAAAAAAGGCCTGGCATATGATATCATAACATCTGGTTTTAAAATGGAGGTGGAGGCAGTCATTGCTGCCTTCTGCTGGCACAAGAATAAGCTGTTCACACATGCTGTGAGTGTCACTGACTCACATATAATGTTGAGAAAGGTGGAGACAGGCATGCTCCAGGCAGAGGGACAAGCATCACTTCAGAGGTCCTAAGTAGTTAGCATTCTTTGGATATTTTCTCCAAGTCATGCCGGTGGGTTGGGAAATGAGCAAGCAGACAGACTGGGCAGTTTTGCACCACTTGGGGGTGAAGGGATGTATGACAAGCCTCAATATTGTGAGAGTTCTTTGGAAGTGAGTGAACAGTGTGGAGGCACAGATAAATCATTTCAGTCTGAAGAGAATGGCGCTGCAGGGAGTTACCAGGAGATCTGGCCGATGCTCATCACCCAAGGAAAAGGCGAAACGAATATACAATCAGTCAGTTCCTGGTGCCATCGGAATTGGAACTCTTCACTTGCTGCTGAAGATGGGGACAGAGCACTTACGAAGTGTCCCGAATGCTATGATATCGACTATTAATTCAAAATTCACTGATAGCACTATACAAATTCTGTTCAGCATACGAACTGTGAGGGCACTATATAAATCCTGATAACACTACAAATATTATGACAGTGCTATATAAATTCTGACAGCACTTTACAAATTGATATCACAAAATAAATTGAGCTACTGTAAAGCTAAGTACACAAAATATATTGTCATCTTGTAAGTATATTAAATAAACTTTAAACATATCACAATAGAACCTTCCAATCAAATTCGTGAAGTGGAGGAATGGGCGGAGCTACCAGAGTCCACTGTTTGGTCGCAGAATTTTCAGCTACACAACATATACAACAGTAAGTGAAACAGGCCAGGATCTGGTGCATTTCCTGTGAACTGCGCGGGGGCTTTCCCCGGAGCTTGCGGGTGAAGGTGTCCAAACTGCCAGCATGGGCAACAATTAATATATCCCCACCTGTATGAGAAAAATACAGTAGATGTTAATCTTGAAGTTGAAACCGGAACTATGTAGGCAACAAGAAATGGTCGTTGCCCTACGCTTACCTTGGTGAAACAGTTTGAAATGTACTCAAATTTGTGTTTCAGTTTCTAGGATTCAGCTATTTGTTTCATTTTAATTAATTGTTACTGTAGTATGCACCTGACGAGATACAGCGAAATATGCCAGGCAATAAATTGTGCTATCTATTGTTTGTGTCTTCTTTGTTCAAATCTTGAAGTTGACTGGTAGTTAATTCTAGTGTGTGTGTGTGAGCATGCATGTGGGTGTATGGGTGTAAATGTATGCATGTAGGTGGATGTATGTATGCATCTATATATCAATATACTTGTGTGTGTGTGTGAATGCATGTATGTGGGTGTATGGGTGTAAATGTTTGTGTATGAGAGTATATGTGTGTGAATGCATGTATGTATGTGGGTGTATGGGTGTAAATGTATGCATGTATGTGTATGGGAGTATATGTGTGTGTTCGATGTGTGTGTGAATGCATGTATGTATGTATGTGGGTGTATGGGTGTAAATGCATGCATGTAGGTATGTGTGTGTGTATGGGAGTATATGTGTGTGTTCGATGTATGAATGTATGCATATGAGTGTGTGTGTATGTATGTATATGTATGTGTATAAATGTGTTTATGTATGTGTGTGTATGGGTGTATATATGTTTATGTATGTATTTATGTATCTATGTACTTGTCTGAGTGTGTGTATGCATGTATGTATGGGTGTTAACGTATGCATGTAAGTATGTGTGTGTATGGGTGTATATGTGTGTGTGTGTGTGTGTATGTATGTACGTACGCAATTGTGTGTGTGGATGTATGTATGAATTTATGCACATGAGTGTGTGTGTATGTATGTATATGAGTGTCTGTGTGTGTATGAGCATGTAAGAGTATGTGTGTATTTCTGAGTGTATGCTGGTGTACAAATGATGATTGCATGCATTATTTCAATACGTATATTATCACATAGACATAACATACACTGCTGCCAACATGCAATGGTGGTGTAAAAGATGAGTTCTTGGACAGGCCGAAGGTAAGAAGGGCCTACATGCCCAATTTGTAACCCTCTGAAACTATCGTTCATTCATTCCCTTTCCAAGACTGAAACTGCAGGATAAGAAACAATGTCATCAACATTTGGACTGGCCAAGTTTAACCCTGCGACCCCTGAGATTGCTAAGCTGAAATTTCCCTCCCAAAAAACTTTTTGGGAAAGCCTTTACAAAAGAAAACAAAAAAAAGCAAGCAATTATGCAAAGTCTAATATATTCAAAACAAATTTATGTACCTACAAAATTTGTATCAGCTAGACGATTGCCTGTGGATCAGAAGGTCATGGGTTCGCTCCCTGGTGGAGCCGGACTTTAAAAAAAAAAAAAGACCTTGGCTCCCACGTAGACCCAGCCTTGAGTGGGTACCAAGTTCAGTCCTGGGAAGTAAAGGCGGAAGTGCGATGCTGATCACATCACCCATCTTGTGCCGTTGGTCTATAAAATATAGGTCAGACCCTAAATACCCAAAACGCCTGATAGGCGTGGAGAAAAGGGTCCTTTACTTTTACTTTACTTACAAAATTTATGGCTGTCAAATATGAACTTTAGCAAGATGCAAAAAATCCTCACTAGATGCTACTTGCAGTGACAACAAATAGTGTTAAAGTATTACTCAACTCAACACAACTCAGCATGAAACATCGACAATAAGAAGATAACTGAAAACATTTACTTGTGGCAGAGATGTAGTTTCTGAGAAGAATGTAAAGAATATCATGTCAAGACAGAAAAAATAAATGAAGCAGTTCTGATTGAAACTGATGAAAGTCATAAACTTAGAACAATTAAACGTAGACAGTCGATAGTTTTTGGGTCAAAAGAATGAATTTGAGAAATGGGTACCAACTGGCAAGCTTGATGGTAAGAGAGCTAAAGGAAGGTAAAGAGATAAAATGAATGTATGGCCTGGCCACATCGATGGCCGAGAGACAAAACCACTGAACTGATCTGTTATCCTGGTAATCACGTGAGATGGCAAAACATGTCAGCCTATGCTTACCGGCGCAATACATGACAAACATATAAATATATATTCCTCGCTGGTGCAACAGAGTTCGGACACTGCACTGAGATTTCCTCGGACTCAGGTTTGAGTAAGAAGAAGAACTGAGCCCTTATGGGTTACTAACCATTGTGCCAAGATGCTGATCCATTGTAAAAATATAAACATATATATCTATATATGAAAGAACAAATTAACAAACATAGAGTAAGAGTTAAATGGAATACATGTCCTGGGGTCTAACAAACAAGTATTAGGCGACTCATGCTGTGACTTTTAACACCGATGCTACATAATAATGTAGCGGGATCCTCGCTGGTGCTATGGAATCCGTGCATTGTGCTGAGATTCTTCGGACTCAGGCTTGAGTTAGAAGTAAAATGGAGCACTTATGGGTTACTACCCTTGTGCCGTGATGTTGATCCATTGTTTAAACCAATAAATCAATAATAATGTCAACATCTACATGGCTTTATAAGAGCTGTTTCTAGTAAATAAATTCACAGCTATGTCTCCTAAATGCTGCACAGGTGCTAACAGAACCAGTAACACTAAACTATACTACTTGGAAACAGATCACTACAGACAGGCTGGTTTCGGGGCCTTTACAGGAATGTGGCAATGATAAAAAAACCTGGTTTGGGGCTTCCCGGGGTGAAAGGGCTAAAAAGTGAAGGTAAATGATGATAAATTTTGCTGGGTGGTCTAAGACAGTGACATGGAGGAATATCATCGACCAATCTGATCCAGAAAACCAAGGACTTCACTATCTGGCAAGGTACATGAAGATGGTCAGAGTTCTTTTGGACATGTTGGAAAAGGAATCAACTCAAAAACTTGGGTGACAACAGCCACGTTGGATAGAAATAGAGCAAGGGAAAGGGGGACAAGAGATAAATACCTGGACGGCTTGGTCTTATGTTTGGGGCAAGACAAGAGAACTGACCAGATCTGTCATTCTGGTGATCGTGTCAGGTGGTGAAACATGACAGACTGCTTATTGGCACGGCATATGCTAATTCTCCAGCTAAACTGATGATTCATCATCATGTGCAGTGCCGGTAAGCATACGCTGTCATGTTTCTCCATCTCACATGATCACCATAATCTCAGATCAATTCAATGTTCTTGTCTCAACCCCTATCCATATGACCAGGCCATCCAGGTATTTATCTCTGCCTTTCCCTGGCTCTGTCTCCATCCATCTAGGCAGCTGTCATCAAAAGTTCTCGAGTCAATTATTTTTCATAACATGTCCCAAAAACATTCACTGTCTATGTTTCTAAATGTTTTAATAAGCTTAAAACAGTCTATCACACATGATTTACCTTTATCTTCATGTGTGGTTGTTATATGGTGAGCAAGTTTATGACATCGTTCGTAGTAGTTGGCAACTGTCTCGTCAAGATAAAGCTCCCCTGTGGTCACCAGCGGCCTGGAATGTAACCCCAAAGGGAGAAGTAATGAAGGAATGGGGACATAATGAAGGGAAGACAACAGGAACATGAAGAAATAATGAATAGAAAGATTACAGGAAAGAGGCGAAATGCAAATCTAATTAGAAAGAATGAAAAAAATAATGGAAGAAAAGAAGACCAAAAATAAAATTGATGATGGAATCAATAATTATAAAAAGTGTTTAAAAAAAAAATAATGAAAGAAGGCATAATAGGAGCTGAGAAAAATAAAATAAAAGTAGGATAGGTAAAATTAGTCCCAAAAAGGGCAACAAAAAAAAAAGAAAAAAAATTAAACAGGAAAGAAAGATAACAAGAACCAAAAAAAAGGTGGGAGGGGGGGGGGGGGGGGGGGGGAATAATGAAAGATTACAAGAAGTGGGGGGGGGGGGGTGGGGGGGGGGGGGGGGAGAATAATGAAAGAATACAAAAAATGGGGGGTGGGGAAGAAGAAGAGAGGGGGAGAATAACGAAAAATTACAAGAAATGGGGGGGGGGTGGGGGGGGTGGGGGGGGGGGGGGGGGGGGGGTTATTGAACAGAAAGGCAGCACATTAGATGGGCCCGCATGCCCAATTTTTAACCCTTTGAAAGTAAAGTCTGTTTGTTCATTCGTTCGTCTCCTGTCTTAGCCTCACAGACAGCACATACATGCTTTACCAAGCTCAATGTGTGTGTGTGGGCCTTACGAGCATGAACTTTGGTCTTGTTGCATTTCTACATCCCTAGATCAGGCTTAGTTTTATTTGCCTCCTTTACTGTCAGGTGTCAACCGACTCCCATGGAGCACACTTTGGATCTTTTCTCCAGGCCATGTCGGCGCAGTTGGGAATAAACAGGCAGACAGATTGGCTAGATCTGCACCACTGAGTGGTGCACTGATACATAACAAGGCAGATGTGGTCAAGGCCCTTTGGAAACAAGTAAAAAAGTCATAAAAGAAATTAGATTATTATGGCCTGGAGAGAATGATGCACCTAGGTGTGACCAGAGGGTCTGGTCGGCTCAATACACTCGGAGGAAAGGCAAGACTGATATATAATCAGACTATGACCAGGACCATTAGTATTGGAGCTCTGCGCTAGCTGTTGAAGATAGGGACGGAGTGCATATGAAAATGCCCCTAATGCAGTGATGTCAATTCCTGACTCAACTCAACTTCGATCCAAATCCCCAAATGAAAAGACGCTAATTGGGAGCAAAGTGAAGACTGCTTTTGTCCTATAGCTTAAACGGGAAAGCATCACAGAGAGGAGTTAGATTTTGTTTCCTGTCTTTTTCTAGCTGCGCAGCTTGTGTTAATGTCATATTGCACATCTGTAGTGTCTCTTTTCCCTCCATCCACTCATCTCTTTCTTGGTCGGCCTCTTACCTTGTAGCCTGCTGTTCTCATGTAATTTCAGTGAAACGTGACTAAAAAGCTTAACAAAACAGGGAAGCAGAAAAGTGTCCACAAAACAATGTTTCAGCCGGTGGCCTTTCCTGAACAAGTTAGTCACCCCCATATTTTCTCCACTTTTTGGATGTTTTCATGTAGTACGCTCTAGCTGCCGGCTGATTTTTTCCGTTCTGACCAGAGCAGCAAACCATATCTTTGATGTTCTATGAAGTCATTCGCTACTACCGTGCCTACCACTGTTCTTAGTTCTTAATCGGGGACTCATGTCTCACCATGTTTTGCCGCCCTATTTCTTACAAATTTCATCTCACATGAGGATACAACCGAAATCGAATTTGTCTTAAAGGATAAAAGTAACAAGCTAACATACTTGTGACGAACATCCACACTGAAACCAACATCTTCCAACTGCTGTGGGGTCATCCATACGGGCATGGCGTTCTTGTACCAACCAAACCACTCAAATGCTGAGGGCTCAATGCGTATCTTTGCGTCGTTCTTCATTCCTGTAATGACACAATGAAAAAGACACTAGTTCATAATACACACATTTTGCTTGTTCTTGTCTTACATAAGCTCTTGTTCTAACCTTGATCTGCCTTTCAGTGTCAGGTTTTGAAAAGGCATCAGGAACTAGCCATGGTATGTGCTACATAGATGCTGCTATCTACAGCCTCAGATTTTCCATCTAACCATTACTTGCATGGTCGACCTCTAGTTCAGCTTTCATTGGGCCTTCTTCTTCTTCTTTGCGTTCAGTTTCGTATGCTCAGGTCAGATCATCAGGTGGGTTGCCTCTATGAACTCGCATGTCAGTAGCAGGTCCTTCATGGTTTCCTACAGCTTGCTCTGCACACTTTGCTCTTGAGGCCATGTGTCTTTTTGAAGTTGTAGGCAGAGTGGGCAGGTCTGCAGAATGTGCTCAGGTGTTTGTGGTCCTGTTTGACAGGCACACTGTGTGGACTGTACAATCTTTATTTTATGCATGTGGTAGTTGAGCCTGCAGTGTCCTGTTCGCAGACGGAAAATTATTGTATGGTGTTTTCTTTTGAGTCCACTGACCATTGTGTCTGAGTCACAGGGTTCTCTGTGGTGTGCTGTCTGCTGGTAGTCTTCATACATGTCCAAACCATTTGATCTGTTGTCTCTTTATGGTTCCTTCCCAACTTATTTCCTGATATCATCATATATGATTCAGTCTCTTCTAGTTGCATTTAGGATTTGCTGTAGACATGTTTCTTGGCTATCCTCCGAATCTTCTTCTTCTTCTTTTGTCAAAATCTGCTTGTGCCGCTAGGCGTCGCAGTCTATCAGATGATCGGCAACCGAGCCAGGGCGCGCTCAGTCGCTTCATATGCCGTGATGTTATGAAGTCTCAAGTTGTCCTCCGAATAACGGTCCTAAATTATCTACGCAGAAAAGTAACCCTAATAGAGCCTCAGTCATATCTAAAACTCGCATTTCTTTTGCGGCGAATCAACCGCGTCAAAAGTAGGATTAACTGTGCATGAAATTTTCGCAAAACGCGGCGGATTTTTTTACTACGATTAAACGGCGGCAAAACTAGGATTAACTACGGACGAAAAATTAGCGAAACACAAGAATACACCGGGTAGGGCTATCCTACGGCAAGGCCTCAGTTATCTGTAAGTTGCAGACCACTTTCTGGTGACTATAGTGCCACCTCTGAGAGTATCACCGCGCGGCGCGGAAGGGGCTAAACTAGATGGCTGGAACTCACGAGCAGCAGCTACTACTTCTCCTGCAACTCCCTCCATTGCATTTGTTCGTGAGTCCTAGCCATCTAGTTTAGCCCCCTCCGTGTCGTGCGTAGCAGCGCGGGGATACTTTCGGAGGTGGCACTATAGTCGCCGGAAAAGTCTTACAATTTACATGAGCTACTTCTTCCGTAGCAACTACCAGCGTGGTCACATTCGCCACGGTCACTGCATGGTCAGGCTAGTGGAGCGCCATAATGACAGCTGCTGGTTTGAAGTTGTCCCGAGGCGAGATGCGTGTACATTAGGACACTTCATTGCTGATCACGTGTTGCCCGGAACAAGAATTGTGACTGACGCTTAGCGAGTCTACAGCAATGTTGGGAAATTAAAACATGGCATTTAGGAGATCACCCTATATTTGGCGGAGTTGCAATCGTGGCACAGCAAGAAAGAACACATATTCGGGCACTATTTGCAACTTCTGTGCCACAATTTTCACATATAAATGATTTAATTATCGGTAAGTAGTAGACTTCCCCCTTTTCCTCATACTTTTCGTTCCTTATATTTTCAGAGTTACAACTTTTAAATCTTTGTAGGGCATGACGTAATGAGGCTCTGTTAGGGTTCATTTTCTGCGTAGATAATTTAGGACCGTTATTCGGAGGATAGTCTGTTTCTTGTTTTGACTATCTAAGCTCTATGGTAGTCTTGTTCTTCTTCTTTGTTTACCGGCTGTAAACTCCAGTGGAAAGTCCTGCTTGTTCGTCCATTTGGCTTTGTGCCAGAGTCTGAGATTTGCGTGTACAACCATTTTACTGGCTTATTTGTGTGCAGTTAGTTTTTCCTTTGCCACTCGGGCAGACACACTCCGCCTTTGAAGGAAGCACTCATTTAGTTGACTCCTATGACATGCTTATCTCTTGGTCTGCCTCTCCATCTTTTACCGTTGATCTTCCTAGTAGCCACAATATTGTCAAAGCTCCCCCCCCCCCCCTTTTCCCCCTTACCACAGTGCTTGTCTTTTCCTTATAGCTGTATATATTGATCTGCTTCCATTAGCTTTTTTCAAACAATCCTTGTAAGTTACTCTGGCAGTCCAAGGGATTCTCAACACTCGTCTGAGGAACAGCATCTCTGTCGCCTCCAAATTCTTTTTAATTTGTGCATTCTACGGGAGTAACAGTTAAAAGCTGAGAAGATAAGACCTCAGCACACTGGGTTTTTACCCCCTATGGCTTGATCTCTCTCCTCAGAATGGCTAGCCACCTGTCGACAGTATCACACACAGCACAAACTTCATAGCTTTGGTGACGATCCCCAGGAATTTCCATAAAAAGTGCACTCATAAATGGAATGAAACAGCTATGGAATGAACCTATGACCTTCGACCTTGACTACTTTGCCAAGACCACACCCTTATAGTTAAGAAATTTAGTTTTTTCTGTATTCCTTGCCAGTTGGAGGCTTAAAATTGTGCAGGTATATGCGGTCACTGATACTGAAGCATATTTTTTCTTTCTTAGTAATGTCTCATTGATTTTGTCTTTTATTAAAGTGACTCAAAGAATGGTTAACCCTTTCGGCCTGTAACAATCTTAAAAAAAATGACCATCAGCAGAAAAAGAAGAGGGAAAAAGAAATAGGAGAAGAAGAAAAAGAAACAAGCCAAGCGTCTTCTCACCATCAATGACATTCTGGGCTGTCTGTACACATCTGAGTGACGGTGAGGAATAGACAAACTTGATGTCCACCCCGGCTTTGTGCAGTGCATCACCTGGCCAAAAACACACACAAAAACAAAAACTAATAATCAAGAGTGGGGTAAACATTCACCTTCAACATCTTTGTAAAAAAAAAAACCATGCTTCTTCTGCTAAGGTTTGAACCAGACCCTCTGTCACGGTAGGTAAGCTTCTTTTTTTTTTTTCTCCTTTTGTTCGCTTGAAATAAATTAACTATATCTGCAATGTTGTCTCTAGTATGAACTTCACTGTCTTTTGTAAATCACTCAGAGACTTGTACAGTTTAACTTGCATCGGTGTTTCTCTTGGCCAAAAGTATTGCCCTGATATGTTGTATTTGGGACAGTCTTAGAGGATATGATAGAGCATTGAGTAGTAAACACTGAATAAAGTAAAAAAAAAAAAAAAAAACAGTAAAGGACCCTTTTCCACGCTTTCAGGGGTATTGGGCATATAGGGCTAGATCTATATTTTATAGACCAATTGCCACTGGTTGGGTGATGTGGTCAGCCTCATTTAGGCTGCCTTTACTTCTCAGAACTGTACTGGTACCCCCATCAAACCTGCGACCTGAGAGCAAGTTCATGTAAAAAAAAAAAAAGTCTGGTTCCATCAGAACCTGAACCATGACATTCCAATCCGCAGGTGAGCGCCCTAGCTGCTACACCATTATATCATTGTAATTACAAACAATCAACGAATACAGTAAAAGAAAAATCTGATATATATTTGTGCTTTTGGATTATTTTACACTTAGTACAAAATGGCAAGAACACTTGTTGAAGTTGATGAAGAATTGATGGAGTTTCTGTCAAGAAGTGATAGCGAAGATGATTTTGAAATGTGTACTTCTGACAGTGAACAAGAAGATTTGACTAGGCCATCAGTATCGACAGCTCAAACCGGCGTGTCCAAGAAAAGCTGTTTGCCTGTCCGACATCCTCATCATTGTCGGAATCAGAGAGCAGCGACAATAAAGCACCATCAAAACGGCAATAAATTGATCAGTTGTCTTGATGAACCGATGATTTGAAACCAGTAGTGCATAATTTTGATGATTCCAGCTCTATCTGTATTTCTGCTACTGTAAATTCAAACAGTTCAGTCACTAAAAATTCTCGTCTTTTCCTATGGTCAGACACAGATTCGGACGAATTTTTTTTTTTTTTGTTGCTGTCTGTCTGCTAATGCTTAGAACAAAGAAACTCAAAATAGAGTACTTGAGGAAAGACTGTTTGCTAAAAACTCCCGTAAAATGTGGCTTTACAGAAGAGTAGGTCTATTGCCTTCTTTGAGAACAAAATGGAATCTATTTTCTTTAAGAACATAATGAAATCTGTTGCCCCAATAAAGGTCAGAATGGAATCTATTGCCTTCTTCAAGAACAGAATGGAATCTATTGCCTTCTTCAAGAACAGAATGGAATCTATTGCCTTCTTCAAGAACAGAATGGAATGTATTGCCTTCTTCAAGAAAAGAATGGAACCTATTGTCTTCTTCAAGAACAGAATGGAATCTATTGCCTTCTTCAAGAACAGAATGGAACCTATTGCCTTCTTCAAGAAAAGAATGGAACCTATTGTCTTCTTCAAGAACTTACAGGAATCTATTGCCTTTTCCAAGAATATAATGGAATCTATTGCCTTCTTTAAGAACAGAATGGGATCTATTGCCTTCTTCAAGAACTTAAAGGAATCTATTGCCTTCTTCAAGGACAGAATGGAATCCAGTGTCTTCTTCAAAAACAAAAATGAATCTATTGCCTTCTTCAAGAACATAATGGAATCTTTTACCTCCTTCAAGAATAGAATGCAGTCTATTGCCTTCTACTGCCTTATTCAAGAACAAAACTAGATTTTCTATCCTCTTCAAGAATTTAAGTGAATCTACAGCTTAGTTTCTGACTCACCTGTAGCTCTGGCTTGGAACCTGCCTATTTCGGTCAGTGGGCTGTCTTTGAGAAAATCTGTATAAGAATCACGCTTGACCAAGTCTTTGGGTAGGTTGAGGTCGGTCTGCTGGTAGTGACCTGAAGATGCAATGCAAGTTTAAAATTATACCAACAGTCTTTTTAGTGATATTCTCCTTTCATATCACGTTTTAAACACATCCTAATAGTACAAGGCTGATGAGATGGCAGTGACCTGAAGATGCAATGCAAGTTTAAAATATACCTACAGACTTTTTAGTGATATTTTCCTTTCATATCACGTTTTAAACACATCCTAATAGTACAAGGCTGATGAGATGGCAGTGACCTGAAGATGCAATGCAAGTTTAAAATATACCTACAGACTTTTTAGTGATATTCTCCTTTCATATCACGTTTTAAACACATCCTAATAGTACAAGGCTGATGAGATGGTAGTGACCTGAAGATGCAATGTAAGTTTAAAATATACCTACAGACTTTTTAGTGATATTCTCCTTTCATATCACGTTTTAAACACATCCTAATAGTACAAGGCTGATGAGATGGTCGGTTTAAGGCTTGTTAGTCATTGTCAAAGCAGCCAACATAACCATCTGAGAGTGAGTGAATAATGAAGCTATTAGACGAATTGTGGAAACCACACCTTGTACTAGATTCATTGAGAATCAGCAGATCAAGTGGTTTGGCCATCTTGTTAGAATGCAGCAAGATCTAATACCATTACAAGCACTTCATCTCAGAAGATCATCTACAAGAGCAAGAGGACGGACATGGAAAATATGCATTGACAACATTAAAGAAACTCTACGCCTCTACAGCATGATAATAGCCAGTGGCAGCCAGCATGCACTGGATCACAAATTATTCCTCCCCATGATGCTTAATGGCAGAAGTGGTTTATGATGATGATGAGTGATTGCCGTGAACAGTTAGAATTCTTCTAGCTAGCTTAAACAGTCTCTGGGTCTGATATATGTTTGTTTTCTTCGGTGCTGCTTTAGTTTTCCAGTACTAATACAGTTCTTCGGTACTACTACAGTTCTACTACAGTTCTTCGGTACTACTACAGTTCTACTACAGTTCTTCGGTACTACTACAGTTCTCTGAGACTACTAATTCCAAGGTTATAGTTCCTTTGTAAGTTCCAGGACCACTGACTCCCCCTTCTCCAACAAGCATGTCGTAGAAAGTGACTAATAATCTGCATAAATCAGATCTACTGGGCCAAAAGGCACAGATAACACAACCTAGCTGTAAACCACAACATAGTGCACCAACTGCCTTTTTAACCCTGTCACCCCAGGAAGCATCGAAGCAGACTTTTCCATCCCTGCCATATTCCTGTAAATTCAACGAACCGCCCTGTTCGTAGTTATCTTTTTCTGTAGTTTAATGGTATTGGTTCTGTTTGCACCAGCACAGTGTTTAAGAGACCAGGATATGAAAATATCACAACACACACACACAAAAAGCATTTAAGGGGGTTCCTGTGAACTAAATGTCTTTTGTAAAGCCAAGCTGACATCAAAGTTCCACACAAGCCTCAATGACAGAGGTCACAGGGTCACAGCAGGAGTAATCAGATACATATTTAGTTTAGGTTGCTATGAACATTTAATCTAATGTATCACCCTGGTTGTGTTTATTTGTTACTCCCTTTAACCATTTTAAAATATTTTTTTACAAAAATATGTTTCGGATCAATTTTCAAAGATTTATTGCTGACCTGTGTGGTCAGTAATAAATATAGTTTTACAGAAGAATCCTTAGAATTCCTTGGACAGCGAAGAAGAGTAAATTAGATGTTTCAAAAGAGGCAGGTGCTGGAAGACAACTTATCATAAACATCAGAAATAGACAGTCATCATGTTTTGGCCATGTTATGAGAAGAGGGAAAATGGAACATGTTGCAACTATAGGAAAGATTTGTGGAAAGAGAGGAGAGGAAGACAGCACAAGAAGACTCTTGATAGCCTTTTGTCTTGTCATGGAGGGGTATCAACACATGAATTGATACATGCAGTTGCAGATTGTGGAGAGGTATGATCGCCAATGCCAGTCGATAAGGCACTTAAAGATGATGATGATGTAAAACAGTGTTTTTTTTTAAAGGGATTTTATAAAAAAAATTTCCAAAGGATCATGACCTATATTTTAATTATTCCCAGGGTTAAAGGGTTACGGGAAATGTAGAAAAAGAATATTGGCTAGAATAACATGTGCAATAAAAGGTAATTCTTTGCTTTGCTTTTTTTAACTGACGAACCTTTCTCATCAAAACATCTGCTCATCCAGGATCTTCCGAAAGCAAAGTCACACCTTTCGCCATGCCGCATGACAAACAGCTGACGAGACTTTGCATCTCCATTCTGGCCGTCAGATGATCCATTCTGGCCATCACATGACTGTTTCATTTTGGCCTTTATGTCTCGTGTAGGGCGACGTTTCGATGTCATTCCAATCTGTAAACAAATCTAATCAAAAATGTTTAACTCTAAAAAAAAAATTAAAATACACTTGTTAAGGACAACTATAGTAATGTCTAGTCATCATCATCATCATGTAGCAGGTCCTTTGCAGAACGTCGCTCTCATCACGGTCTGCCTGAAAAAAAACTTGGTCTCTGGCCAGCTCTCCTGCCTCATGTACTTTCATACTCAAGGAGTCAGTTATATCCTGTGATCATCTTTGCGTTGATCGGCCCCTGCCCCTCCTTCCTGGCACCATGCCTTCTGCAATAATTGTTTCCAATCTGTCATGGCGCTTGATTTGACCAAAATAGTTCAGCTTCTGAGACAGGATGCTGTTTATTAGCCAATCTTCCTTGATGTTCAGATCTTTCAAGATGTCAGTATTTCTCCTCTTCTCTGTCCAAGATATTCTGAGAATCTTTCTATAGCATTTCAGCTCAAAAGCCCCTATGCTCTTTCTTAAGGACTGAGAGATAGTCCACGATTCTCATCCGTATGTTGCTACAGGGAAGATGCATGCTCTCAAAATTCTTATTTTGATTTCCTTGCTGGTTCTTAACCAAGAACTTTTAAGGCTGCATTGCTATGGCCATCCTCCTTTTAAAACTGTTAAAAAAAAAAAAACTTTCTGTCCCAACCAACGTAGACAGTTTTATCAGCTACAATCACTGTGTATCAAACAAGAACAGTGTGTAATTATATAATACACATTTGGTTGTGAGCATGCTAAAGAAATCTGGCCAGATATTCTACTAAACAGCACATTATCTGTTGTTTCTTTGAAAGTAATACACTTATGCTGTTTTCAGTGTTTGCATCACCTCCTAAAGTATTAAAAGAAAAAAGAAACTATTTCTGCCAGCGCTATTCAACTGGCGGCCCACAAGCCAAATGTGGCCTGTGAAGCCTAGCAAGTGGTCCGTGGATCAATGTCAGTTGTTTTGTATTAACGATTTTTCTCTGCTGGGGCTCAGGTGTCTGGCTGGTGACCATCCCCCTTACAGAACTTTGGCCGCTGAATAAACTTATTTGTGACCATCCCCCTTACAGACACTTTGGCCGCTGAATAAACTTATTTGTGACCATCCCCCTTACAGACACTTTGGCCGCTGAATAAACTTATTTGTGACCATCCCCCTTACAGACACTTTGGCCGCTGAATAAACTTATTTGTGACCATCCCCCTTACAGACACTTTGGCCGCTGAATAAACTTATTTGTGACCATCCCCCTTACAGACACTTTGGCCGCTGAATAAACTTATTTGTGACCATCCCCCTTACAGACACTTTTTGGCCGCTGAATAAACTTATTTGTGACCATCCCCCTTACAGACACTTTGGCCGCTGAATTAAACTTATTTGTGACCATCCCCCTTACAGACACTTTGGCCGCTGAATAAACTTATTTGTGACCATCCCCCCTTACAGACACTTTGGCCGCTGAATAAACTTATTTGTGACCATCCCCCTTACAGACACTTTGGCCGCTGAATAAACTTATTTGTGACCATCCCCCTTACAGACACTTTGGCCGCTGAATAAACTTATTTGTGACCATCCCCCTTACAGACACTTTGGCCGCTGAATAAACTTATTTGTGACCATCCCCCTTACAGACACTTTGGCCGCTGAATAAACTTATTTGTGACCATCCCCTTACAGACACTTTGGCCGCTGAATAAACTTATTTGTGACCATCCCCCTTACAGACACTTTGGCCGCTGAATAAACTTATTTGTGACCATCCCCCTTACAGACACTTTGGCCGCTGAATAAACTTATTTGTGACCATCCCCCTTACAGACACTTTGGCCGCTGAATAAACTTATTTGTGACCATCCCCCTTACAGACACTTTGGCCGCTGAATAAACTTATTTGTGACCATCCCCTTACAGACACTTTGGCCGCTGAATAAACTTATTTGTGACCATCCCCCTTACAGACACTTTGGCCGCTGAATAAACTTATTTGTGACCATCCCCCTTACAGACACTTTGGCCGCTGAATAAACTTATTTGTGACCATCCCCCTTACAGACACTTTGGCCGCTGAATAAACTTATTTGAAAAGCCCTGCTTTAGGCTAAACATAAACTAAATCAACAGTGTTGCATCTTACTGTCACAGCACAGACTAAACACAGTACATCCCCAAACCCTAGTAACCTGATCCCTAGTTACCCGAACCCCAGTTACCCGATCCCTAGTTACCTGAACCCTGGTTACCCGATCCCCAGTTACCTGAACCCTGGTTACCCGATCCCTAGTTACGCGTTCCCTATTTACAAATCAGCTATGATGACTGCAGATAGGCAGACTGGAAGTCAACATATGATCTCAACCATTTACATAAAAAGAATACAAACTAACCTAAACATAAATTATAGCAATAGTTAGTTAGTTAGTATTTCCTCTTGACCCTAGGGCAGAGCTCTTAGCTCTCCATGTCTGGTGGTTTGTTGCCCCTGTCTGAAGTCGTGGATGTTCATCAGGCCCATGGCTGAACCTTCCCTGATGATGTTTCTACACAGGGTCTCTCTTGGTCTTCCTTATTTTCTTTTCCCTCCCAGTGTTCATATGAGGGCTTGATGGGGAAGTCTGGTCCTAAGCATTCTGAGTGCATGGCCAATGCTTGCTTGTGCACCCCACCAGGATATCACACAAGCGATAAACACCCGATGACACAAAGTGCCACCATGGGGACGAGGATCACCGGTGGAGAGGTCCCAGAAACCCCTTTCAGACGTTATGGCCACATTTGTGGTCCAGCTATATCCAGGTCCCCCAGGAAAAGCCAGGGTGGAGATTAAAATAATGAAAAATTGCAACATCCAACAAGGGGATGAAATTATTGATGCTGGCCAATGTAACAGGCAAGTTTTTAAGTCGATGAGATTGGGTACAACCTGTTACATCCCCAGTCACAAACCAGCCAAGGTGATTACAGTGAAAGATACACACAGGCCCCTAATCATAATTGGATCTCAAAGATTAAAATAACAAGAACACATGCTAACATAAACTAAATCAACGGTGTTGTCTCACTACCAGAGCTGAGAGCATAGATGTGCCACCACAAGTCGAGTACATCACGTTACAAATCCACCAGGATGCAGGTAGGCAAAAATGGAAGTCAAAACTGGATCTCAAAAACTCACAAAACAAGAAAACACATACTAACGTAAATACAAACTATACTGAGTCTTGTATCTGATTAAGGAGTGGACGGCTAAATAGTGAAGTACTTAGGGCTTTCATGTAGAAGACCGGGCTCAGTAAGTTGGGTATTATTTTGTGTGTGTCCGGGACAAAAATAAAATCGTAACATACACAGTCCACGGCGACAGCACTAGCCAATGCGACCTTAACTCTCTGAGTCCCAGGGGGTTTAGCATCAGACTACTCAAGGGGTAGTCAATAGAGATGTAAAATCGGCGCACCTTGCGTTGACTGGGCTTCTAGGTAGGAATCTATCAACGTATGATGCGTTCCTTGCATTTAAATCTTTAGGCTCAAAGACACCCGTTCTATCCCCCCCCCCCCCGAAAAAAAAAAACGCAAAATTGGCAAATAAATGCGGTAATGACAGCTGACATTGTATCTTATTACTAGAGAGCAAATACTCCACAATAAGTAGAGGAGTACTAACAATAGTAGTACTAGGAGGACATTCATAAATGCCCAGTGTCACAAACATATGACGATGACATATGTGACTATGTGGAAGCTGGAAGTCAACTAATAGTTGAACTTTACTATTAGTATTAATACTATGGATCTCAAACATTTACATTAATAAGAATACACACTAACCTAAACAAACAGTGTTGTATCTCATTACCAGAGCGAAGACAAGCCTCAATAAGTTGAAGACAACACTCCTCTAAAGTTACAAACCCGCTATCACCCAATAATTGGACGAGAACTCATAAAGTTACAAACCGGCCATGACGATCAGATGGGCAGGCCGGAAGTCAATACTGGATTTTAACCATTCACAAAACAAGAATACACATTAACCTAGACAAAAATTAAACCAACAGTATTGTATTTAATTACCAAAGCGTAGACAAGCCACAATAAGTCGACGAAAACATGCCTTAAAGACCCAGCTGTGTTTACAACCCCGCCTTGACGATCAGATGGGCAGGCCGGAAGTCAACATTGTCGTCTGCTGGCTTCCATCTCCGTCCAGTCCGGGCTCTAGATTCAACTTCCTCATGGAGCCAGCTCTTCTCTCGCAGCTAAATTGTAGATTTCTGCCTCTAAATTAGTTTGTCTTCAACATTCATGCACAAAAACGGAAGACACAAGATGTATGTTACTAGGCGCTAAACTTGACGCGATCCTAATCTGACAGGATAAATAGTAATACAAAATGAGTTACTAAGTTCTTAGGGATTCCTGATGATAGGTTGCAGTAGTACTGTAGTTACTAGTAGTACTAAGCCATTTTAAAATTTGCTTTTCCTTTCACTCAGGAAGAAACGTGTTGGGCACATTCAGTTTTTCCTTACACACTGATTCTGAGTACTAAATAAATTCATCTTATTTTGTTCATACCTGATGCATGAATAGTAGGGGGGAAAAGCGTGTAACCACTGTAACTAACTGGACTACAAAGGACTATTTTTTATAACAAAGTTATGACGGAGCAACTTGCTGGATCCGTTTCTTTCCTTGAGAACTCAATGAGAAATTAGTCTTGTACTGTTCATATTTGAAACATGAGTAGGGGAATACACTTAATGTGTAAATGAATGAGTATTGTGTCATAGTTGTCGAAGTGAACAGTGATGATTGCGACTGAGTAACTGAGATGGAATAGAAGAAATAAACTGGCAGAAAGCATAATGGAATCTGAGTGGCCTTGCAGTGTTGTCAACTGTAGGAAGCTGTGTTTGTTCTATAGTAAACGAACCATATTAAAAAAGTAACCTATCTATAATATGAGCCAGCTTGCTTACACCATGTCTGCTCAGTGAGTGAATGAGTATGCTACAGAAGATCAAGGTGAGGTACATACGGAAACAGTGGCTCCATCTGATGATAATTATGTTATACTGGGAGCTTTTATTCTGACATAGAACATATGTTTTACAGTACTTGGACAGTAAAAGACTAAAAGTTATTAGTAGAAGGAGCTTATTAAATTAATTTAATTTGTCACAGAGAAACTTGAAATCAGTTTCATGTTGGTCTTTTGTGAAAGTGAACCAAAGAGAAATACACCTTATTTTCATCACCCTGGTATAAATAGTTGAATAAAGCAGGATGTGTTATACTGAGAGCTAATAGGGAGGCATTGAATTTTATTCTGAGGGAGAAACTTGCTGATTCAGGCCGTACCATGGCAGGTCTACCACCAAGGGATCGGTCTAGGAGTCTTAGTTCTTCAGTAAAGAGCAGGTCGCCGTTGGAGACACTGGAGCATATGGGGTTTCCCAGAGATCGAGCGTAAGAATTGTATTTTTTAAATATTTTCTTCATTTGTTTTAGGCCTGGTTGTTTCTCTGAGATTATTGTCTTCTTCTTCTTCTTTGCGTTCACCGGCTGTAAACTCTGGCAGAAAGTTCTGGGTTGTTACTCCACCTCTTTACTTGAGTCCTGTTTCAAAACCTGAGTGTTGCATGCACACCAACAGATCTGACTTAATTTTATGCAGATTGTTGGTACCCTGCCTTCAGGCAGATGCACTCTGACTTCAAAGGAAGCCCCCTGTTAGTCAACTGTTATGACATGCTTGTAGGGGAGGCAGTGTGTCTGTTCTTGTTTTCCTCACAATAATTTGGATCTTTTCTCCAGGCTATGCTGGCATGGTGGGGAATGAACAGGCAGACAGATTGGCTGGATGTGCACCGCTGATTATTGAATTGATACATGGCAAGACAGATGTGGTCAGAGCCCATTTGGGAACAAGTAACAAAGTCAGAAGAGAAACTAGATTATTATGGGCTGGAGAGAATGATGCACCTGGGTGTGGTCAGAGGTTTTGGCCAGCACACTACATGCAGAGGAAAGGCAAGATGGACATACAACCAGATTACGACCAGCACCATTAATTTTGGAACTCTGCGCTGGCTGCTGAGGATGGAACAGAGATGTCCCACATAGGGAAGATTATTGTCTGATATGCCTACTTTACCAGCTAAAGATGATTGCCTTTCACAAAACTTAATCATCATCACCATTTTGCCAACTGGCATGGGCGATCATGCCTATCCACAATCTGTGATCTTCAACAGCATGAATTAATTCGTGACCAGATGGTGGTGACTATCTCTTTTGGATGTTTATGATAAGTTATCTTTGAACTGTCACCTCTTTCAAAATGTCTAGGCTAGTCCTTTCAGCTGACCAAGGAATTTAAAGCATTCTGATATCTTCTTCTTCTTCTTTTTCTTCTTCTTCTTCTTCTTCTTCTTCTTCTTTTTCTTCTTCTTCTTCTGCTTCTTCTTCTTCTTCTTCTTCTTCTTCTTCTTCTTCTTCTTCTTCTTCTTCTTCTTCTTCTCTTCTTCTTCTTCTTCTTTATCTTCTTCTTCTTCTTCTTGTTCTTCGCGTTCACCAGCTGTACACTCTGGCGGAAAGTTCTGGTTGCTCGTCCACTACTGAACTGCAGTCCTGCTCCAGAACCTGAGTGTTGCGTGTGCATCAGTTTTACAGATCTCATTCTCTTGAATACAGACTGTTGGTTCCTTGCCTCTCCAGCACATGCACTCCAACTTCAAAGGAAGCTCCCCAGTTAGTCGACTCTTACGACATGCTTTTGGCAAAGCAGTGGGTCTATTCTTGTTTTCCACACAATGGGGAGCATTCTGATATGAAACCATGTCTCTAATTCCTCAAGAAATTGTGTCTGTTTATTAACTGTCCAGGCTAGAGCTCTTCACTCAATCAAGGTGCCATCTCCACATGAAGGTTGGCTGCAGTAGATCTCTAACACACGCTGTATCTTGTCTTGGTTGTACACTCTCTCAGACTTCTGTTTGCCCATCAATTGATGTTGTCATCCCTCGTAAAAATTCTTACCGAACTTAAAAAAAAAAAAAACCACTCGAAAGATAATTGCTTGCATATCCTTTGTGGAATGTCACAAAGTCACCCTTCAAAAAATATTTTTTCTTCTGTGGTTTCAACTGTGCAATGACTAGTGGTAACAGTTATAGGCAGGTTTTTTTCCTAGAGAAAAAAAGAATAAAAAGATGCCAGTAGACGGCACAAAGTGTCCGTTACAGTAAAGCTCAAGATAAAGGTGCTGTTACTGCTTACTGTTGTGTACTGTCAGAAAAATCCCTGGTTATAAAGAAGATGTCACTATACTTAACACATTCTGATAAGAAATGTGCAAAGAAAAAAAAAGATGCACTAAAAAAGGAATTAAAGGGATTAAGGAAGCTAGGACATCCAGAGGAAACCCTAAAATGAAAGTTGATAAGAAAGACCAAAGGGGCCGGAGTGGATTTCATCAATAATATCAGTATAACTGCACAGGATAGCGGAATAGAGGAATAGACTGTGAGTCCTCTGTGATATAATTACACAACAGGGCAATGACGATGATGGTTTAACTAGACATTTTTTTAAATATTTAGTAATTTACTCTAAGGTCGTGGGTTCCGGTCCCGACGGAACTGGGCTTTCTTCAGAATTGACCTTGGCTCCCAGGTCAACCCAGCCTTGAATGGGTACCCGGTGCAGTCCTGGAAAGTAAAGGTGGCCGGCGTGATGTTGACCGCATCATCCAGCAAGTGCCAATTGGCCTTTAAATATAGGGTCGAGTCCTGTATGCTCAATACACCTGAAGGTGGGAAAAGGGTCCTTTACTTGGTAATTTACTATTGCTTTCTGAATGGTTCAACACTTATATGATTGTCAGAATGAACATCTCTTGCTTTCTGAACAGCTCAACACTCATATGATTGTCAGAATGAACATCTCTTGCTTTCTGAACAGCTCAACACATATGATTGTCAGAGTACACACAAAGCTGTTCCGCTGCTAGATCAGCTGCACCAAAATCAAACCCACTATGTCACAATAATGACACTGCATTCATAACTCCTGCGAGCAAGCCACTATTAAATGCCTTAGAACAGGGCACATTGAGCAAGTCATTATTAAATGCCTTAGAACAGGGCACATTTGACTTTGCAGCTACATATACAAACAAATTTAAGATTGCGATTCAGCCATGTGTACATGTGGATTGGCACCTGAAACAACAGATCATGACCTCCAAGACCGTCCCAAATACAACATATCAAGGAAAAACTTTTGGCCAAGAGAAACATCGGTGCAAGTCCAACTTTACGGGTCGCTAAGTGAATTACAAAAGACAGTGAAGTTCACACTAGAGACAACATTGCAGATATAGTTAATTTATTTAAAGTGAACGGAAGAGGAAGAGTAACTCCGTAACCTCAAATGCTGACAGCATACCACTTCTCTATGGTGTTGGTAGTGATGGTAAGGACAGAAGATTGTGGGGGGGGGGGGGGGGGGGGGGGGGTTAGTAGGGTAAGGGGGGGGGGGGGGGGGGGGGGGAGTAATTCAGATCATGATATCCTCAGCATAAAATCTATAATGTGTATCATTTCCTGTTGATACTGTTTACCCCTCCATGGCATGACCAAAAAACTATCAAGAATATTTTCTGATTGTCTTCCTCCGTATTCTTTCTGTAAATCTTTCAGGTTGTCACAACATTTTCTAGTTTTTCCTTTGTATAATTTGACCATAAAATGACGAATTCTTTCTGTAAATCTTTCAGGCTGTCACAACATTTTCTAGTTTTTCCTTTGTATAATTTGACCATAAAATGATGAATTCTTTCTGTAAATCTTTCAGGCTGTCACAACATTTTCTAGTTTTTCCTTTGTATAATTTGACCATAAAATGATGAATTCTTTCTGTAAATCTTTCAGGCTGTCACAACATTTTCTAGTTTTTCCTTTGTATAATTTGACCACAAAAATGACGAATTCTTTCTGTAAATCTTTCAGGTTGTCACAACATTTTTTCTAGTTTTTCCTTTGTATAATTTGACCACAAAAAATGACGAATTCTTTCTGTAAATCTTTCAGGTTGTCACAACATTTTCTAGTTTTTCCTTTGTATAATTTGACCACAAAATGACGAATTCTTTCTGTAAATCTTTCAGGTTGTCACAACATTTTCTAGTTTTTCCTTTGTATAATTTGACCACAAAATGACGAATTCTTTCTGTAAATCTTTCAGGTTGTCACAACATTTTCTAGGTTTTCCTTTGTATAATTTGACCACAAAATGACGAATTCTTTCTGTAAATCTTTTAGGTTGTCACAACATTTTCTAGTTTTTCCTTTGTATAATTTGACCATAAAATGATGAATGCCTATTTTAGGTGTATCGGGTATATGGGAAGAGCGCCCATTGCCTATTTTAGGTGTATCGGGTATATGGGAAGAGCGCCCATATTTTTACAGACCAATCGGCACAAGGTGGGTAATGTGGTCAGCATTAGGCCGGCCGTCTTTACTTCCCCAGGAGAGCCATTTTAGACTTGAGTCGACTGGCAACACCCCATACTATGATACAAATCCATGCAGTCACTGACGCCACATTAACAAATTACTGATCATAAATTTGTCTCGAAAACTGCAACATCCCTGGCCCAAAATTTTGGGGTTTGGTTCTAGAGCATCCTGTAAGTAAACGTTTTGGAAAGCCACACCTTTAAGACTATGTTTTGTGTATTTTGTTTGTGTAAAGAAAAAAAAAGTGTAAAGATCCCTTATCCATGCCTTTAGGCTTAAAGGGTATATAGGGCTAGAACTATATTTTTATAGACCAGATTGGTGATGTTGTCACCATCCGCTGGCCGCCTTTACTTCCTGGGACTTCACCCGGTACCCACTCAAGGCTGTGTCGACCTGGGAGTCAAGGTCATTTTTGAAAAAAAGTCCGGCTCTGCCAGAAAGCAAACCCATGATCTTCAGATTCGCACATGAGTGTCTTGCCGCTACGCCACGGCGACACCCATTTTGGGTATGGCTTGTTAAGTAATTGTCAATGACTCACAGCCATGTGTCCAAACTAGACCATGTAGCATGCACAAATTATTATTCCTACCTCTGATAACAGGTGATTGTATAAGCATGTTTTGGAGACACTGCGTCAGTGTTATTAATTCTTCTTCTTCTTCTTCTTCTTCTTTTCTTCTTCTTCTTCTTCTTCTTCTTCTTCTTCTTCTTCTTCTTCTTCTTCTTCTTCTTCTTCTTCTTCTTCTTCTTCTTCTTCTTCTTTTCTTCTTCTTCTTCTTCTTCTTCTTCTTCTTCTTCTTTTTCTTCTTCAGCATTCCGAGCCATTGAGGTTCATTGCTGCAGATATCACCGGCCTCCATTCATCTCTCTGGTTGGCCTTCTCTTTCCAGTTGGTGACACCAAGTGTTTATATGTCTGTCTGGACATTATCTCTCCATGTTCTTGTTCTGCCTCGTGGTCTACGACCATTAATCTCCCTTGTGTGTACAGTTTTTACTTCTCTGTCATCTGACATTCTTTCAGTATGCCCCAACCATTTCAGTCTATCAGCTCTCATGATCAGTGGTGATTTAAACAGATTATGAATTTCCTTATTGCCTCTCACTCTCCATTCCCTGCTGTTTGCATCTTTAATGGGTCCAAAGGTTCGTTGTAAAACTTAGTTTTTGGAAAAATAATAATGCACCTACATTTTCTTCTGCCCTCTAGAGAGAAAGCAATTGCTGCAACAGGGAACCATGGTGTACAGCCAGCTGCTGAGTGGTAAGTCACATCAACTAACTTGCAGCTGTCTGTGTTAGGATGACTCACTCTTTTAGCTGATTCAGGAAAGAACATCACAGCACTCAGGGCATTTCAATAAGCGCTCTGTCCTCATCTTCAGCAGCCAGCTCAGAGTTCCAATACCAGTAGTGCTAGTATCATTCTGATTAAACATCCATTGTCTTTCCTCTGAACGTCGAGTATCGGCCTTTACCTCTTGTCACTCCCCGCTGCATCATTCTCACCGGATGGGGATCCACTTGCTCCTCCAAATTGTACATGCTCTCCCACAAGGCCCTAACCACGTCTGCCTTATCATGTCTCAGTAATCCACCAAGTTGTGCATCGCTAGTCTGTCTGTCTGTCTGACTGTTTATTTTCCAACATACCGGCATACCCCGGTGAAAAAATCCAGATAATGCTCCAGATAATGACCTCGGAATCGAAGCAAGCAACTCTGCACGAAGCATGCCTGTCCTCACCTTTCTGAGCCTACTTTGTAACATTTATACTGAAATTATGTGCTCCCCATGTGGGTTCTGGGGACTCATTGTGTGTGTGGGGGGGGGGGGGGGAGGAGACCCCCTCCCCCCCCCCCCCCCCCCCACAATCAAGTTATTAAAGGTGGCTTCTGAGGTGTTTTTTCCTTTAAAGTCAAAGTGTCTGAGAGGTAAAAAATCAGTAGTATGCAAAATTGTTTTCCTTTGTGACTGCATATCAGTCCTCCAGGCAACTCAGAGGGATCCACAACATGAAGAGAAAACTGACCTGCTAGCTAAACACACTCTCAGAAAACAATCAAATCATTCTCAACTGGATCTTGGGGCACTGCAGGCATATCAGGAAATGAGTTAGCAGACAAACTTGCAAAAAATGGAATAAAGAGAAAGAACACACCCATTCATTGTCATTACCAGAAATCAAAACACTCATCAAGGGAAAATACAAGGAATTGTGGAGAGAACAAGCCAACAGTAAACATCGACAAGACCCCATCAGCAGACTCAACAGAAAGCAGCATACAACAATTTTCCGTCTACAAACAGGACACTGCAGGCTCAACTACCACATGCATAAAATAAAGACTGTACAGTCCCTACAGTGTGCCTGTCAGATAGGACCACAAACACCTGAACACATTCTACAGACCTGCCCACTCTACCTACAACTTCAAAAAGACACCTGGCCTCAAGAGCAAAGTGTGCAGAGCAAGATGTGGGGAACCATGAAGGACCTGCTGCTGACATCCGAGTTCATAAAAGCAACCCACCTGATGGTCTGATCTGAGCATATGAAACCGAACACAAAGAAGAAGAAGAAGAAGAGTTGTAAAAGTAAGTAGTAAAGGTCCCTATTCTATGCCTTTAGGCTTTTAGGGCATATAGGGCTAGACCTATATTTTTAAAGACAAACCGTCACAAGATGGGTGATGTTGTCAGCATCACGCTGGCCGCCTTTACTTCCTGGGACTGCATCTGGGACCCACTCAATGCTGGTTCGATCTGGGAGTCAAGGCCATTTTTAAAAAACGTCTTGCCTCAGCTAGGGAGCGAACCCACAACCTTCTAATAGGAAGAATAGTATGCATACAAATAAGCCAGATCTGTGCATCGGATATGCATGCAAAACTTAAGTACCTGAACAAAACTAAAATGAAGAACCATAAATTTATTTCAGAGTTTACAGGCGGTGAATATGAAAAAGAAGAAGATTTACAAAGCCATCTCCCTTGACTTTAGAATGCAATAACTTTTTGTAGTTCTAAAAGTTAAATATTATAGTAAGTTCTTAAGTATAACTATTAAAAAGTAGAGTCATTTTCAGTCACCAGTCAGGGGCCATCTCCATAGTGAAAGGTAGAAACAGTGGATCTCCAGCACACTCTGTCTCTTGTCTTGGTAGCACACTATCTCAGACAGCTGTTCCTTTATCTCTTGATGTTGTCCTCCCACTTGTAACTTTGTCTACCTCTTGATCCTTGCCATTAACTTTTCACTCCAGTATAATTTTTTAAAAGTGATGTTTTTTGATGTGGCCAGAATATTCACGTTGTCTCCCTTTGATCTCTTTCAGTAATTTATTCTCATTTGCAGTCTCTGAAGAACCTGTGTTTTTCACTGCTTTTGTTTCTATGAAATATGACATATTATTCTGTATATCCACATTCACAGAGAATCAGTCTGATTAGTAATTGCTTGTTCATTGTCCAAGTTTCTGAACCACATTCCAGAGACCCGATCTATTTTTTAGTTGCTTCTTCATTGTCCAGGTTTCTGAACCACATTGCAGAATCTATTTTTAAGTTTCTTGTTCATTGTCCAATTTTCTGAACCACATTCTCCAGAGAGTGGATTTTTTAGTTGCTTGTTCATTGTCCAAGTTTCTGAATCATACGTCAGGTTTGAGTATTCATAAGACTGACGATTCGTTTTTCAGCATGTTTATCTCTCTAGCTGTCAGTAATTGTATTAAAGATAATTTTAGCCATTCCTGTTCTCTTTTTGTTTTCCTCTAACGTTTCCCATAATCTATTATTACATGTCTAAGAAAGGAGTTAAGTTGAGTTGAGCTGAGTTAAGAATTAACATCACAGCACTTGGGGCATTCCCATGCGTGCTCCGTCATCTTCAGCAGCCAGTGCAGAGTTCCAGTGCTAAGAAAGGAGAAATGATAGACTTTGTAACCTGTTCTACTGTTTGACCACTGGATTAGGCTATTAACATGAAATGAATCCTGTCACCCTTGAATATTTTCTGTTTAAGTAAACTCAATTATTTGTTCTACTGTACGCAGGCTGTTGTCCCATGTGAATGACCCACATCTGGACAACCATGAACCCAGAGAATACATTGTCTACTTATGCCCAACGGGTGAACTCAGGAAAACTTTAATAGAATTTTGGGACAAATCGGTTCAACTTTGTGGCTGGAACGCTGCACATATGTACTATCCTCATATAACTTTATGTACATTTTTCAAGGTAAGTGCATGTGTGTATCTTTTTTTAAAATAATCTTTTGTTAGCTTAGGCCTTGCTAATGTGCTTCGTAGTGCCGGGTTCAATCCCAGCTGTAGACAATTTGTTTTGCATTGGTTTTGACAGTGGTACTGAGAGTTGACCTTTCATGAAAGCAGTGGCAAACTACTGAACATAAACTTTGCCTAGAAAAACCGCAACAGCCCAAAAAATGCCGGGGTTGGTACTGCAATGTCCTGTAAAGGATACGCAACAAACTTTTGTGTTTGAGAATACAGTAAAACTTCGATTAACCATGACCATCTTTCTGTAGCAAAAGGTTTGTTGGAAATCGCCAAGAGAGGAAGTCTCTTTTGAAAAATCATTGTTTATCTTTAATAGAAAAGGTGGACAAGACCAATAACACCTGATAATATGCTTTGGATAAGCCAGATTTCTTCAGTATTTGGTGACAAAAATGAAAAGTAAAAGAACACAATATGCAGTGGTTGAAAGCTCAGACTAGTAACTGGCCCCTCATGCATTATTTTTGGACTAAAAGAGTTAAACACATAATTTAACCAAATCCAGGGCATTTTATTTTTTAGAGAAAAAGCTGCCGGCACTCACTACATAGTGTCTAAAAAAGGTACCAGTACTCATGTACCCATACATGCCACAGAGTTTATTTTACAGTAGCGCTGACAGAAAATGATCCTTACAAACAAAACCTTTAAAAAAAAGCCGCTGGTACTGCATACCATTGCATGCCATTAGAAGAAAAGCCCTGACCAAAACCACTGATAATAATTCGTTATGTTATCTTGGGAGCTGCTGTGATAGATGCTCGCCTGCGGATTCACAGGTCGAGTGTAAAAAAATTACCCCCAGGTTGACCCAGCCTTTAATAGGTACCATGTAAAGTCCTGGGAAGTAAAGGTGGCCAGCATGATAATAACCACATCACTCACTAAGTGCTGATTGGTTCATAAAAATTTAGGTCTAGTCCTATAAGCCCATTACACCTGAAGGTGTAGAAAAGGGTCTTTTACCTACCTGCATGATGTCATCATCAGACACTCATGTGCTGTCTCCACAACAGAAGTTAGTTGCACCCTGTCAGACTGCTGTTCATCCATCTGTGTCTACCTCTCGTTGTTTCTTCTTCTTCTTCTTCTTCTTCTTCTTCTTCTTCTTCTTCTTCTTCTTCTTCTTCTTCTTCTTCTTCTTCCTTCTTCTTTCTTCTTCTTCTTCTTCTTCTCGCCTTTCTATCCCCCAATGGAGCATAGGCCCCTGAACCGACTCCCACCCGAGTCGTTCTATCCTCCCATTCAGGAGCTCTCTCCATGTCCTCCCATCTTTCTAACTCATCTCCAGCTCTTTCTCCATGGGTTTTTTGGCCTACTTTATTCCTAGCACCGTGTGCTCCAATGCAGAGGACATTATAGTTATGCTTGTTCTCCGTTTTCTCAGTGTGTGACCTATCAACGCAAGCATCTTTTCCTCACTCTTGGTCCACTGGAGGTTTTGTTTGGCCTCTTCCTTTGTTCCTATGCCCCCTGTGTGTTCTATCATTAGTTATGCCTGTTCTCCTGTTTTCTCAGTGTGTGACCTCCAACTCAAGCATCTTTTTCCTCACCTCTTGGTCCACTGGATGTTCTCTCCCAAAGTTCTACATTAGTATTCTATCATACCATTTAATTCCCTCTATTCTGCGCAGCGTCGCCAGTTAATGAATGTCTGTAATCCATTAGTTAATTAACCTTGGATTTCTCCATGTTTCAAACTCAGTACTGATTTAACATAAGAACTAAACATTTTTAGTTTAGTTTAGTATTTCTTTTAATTTCTTTTGTTGTTTCAGATACCCGATAATAAAGTGAATCTCATAGACACGATCATGAATGTTGTCATTCAAGAAATTGGTCAGTGGCCTTGTGTTGGTCCCCTGGGCCTCGACCTCTTTCACCCAGAACAAAAACTTCATTGGATACTTCGTGAAGACCCCACATCATCAGTATGCAGAACAGCTGATGATTAAAGTCATGGATGTGTTCCTCAAACATGGTTCGTATTTACTTTCTGTTACTTCAGAACAAAAACATTAATGAATTAAATCTTCTCCCTGACCTACCCTATGCAATTTAGGATCATCCACACTTACGAACCACACAAACAGGAGTAAATAAAAACAGTATATAAAGAAAGGGAAGCTGAAATATTTTTGGTCACATCAAGTGCCACGACAGATTGGAAAAAAATAATAGTAGAAGGCATGGTACCACGGAAGAGGAGGGTTAGGGGCCAACCAATATAAAGATGCACACAGGATATAAGTGACTTCTTGAGTCACTTGAGGTAAATGAGGTGGGAGAGCTGGCGAGAGACCAAATTTCTTTCAGGCAGACCGTGATGAGAGCGACCTTCTGCAAATGACCTGCTACATGATGATGATAATGAATCAGTGTGGTCCTCTCTGATGCGTGTAGTATGCAGGTGCATATGATATCAGTACTGGTAGCTCTTCTTCTAGTGTGCAGATCACTATAGCAAGTTGGATAAATGACCTTTACAGGGGAATCAGACCCAACTGGAAGTGTCACTTTTGTAGCTTCTAAGAGAGACAGGGTTAACGAAATGAATGCCAACTTATAATCAACATTGTGTCCTGTGGTTTATAATAAGCTCAACTTTCTACAAATGACATTCTTGATGATGATGTTGATGTGTTACTTGCTCTCTTTCTGTTATCTGCTGAAAATGGTGTCAAGCTCAGAGCACGTGCTCCGTGGCTCAGGCTGCTACTGGCAACATTGGTATTGGAACTCTGAGCTGGCTGCTGAAGATGGGGATGGAGCACTTATGAGAATACCCCAAGTGCTGTGATGACGCTTCTTTAGTCAAATCAACTCAACTCTCTTTCTATTTCAGGCATAGAAATGAGACCGCAGATGAAACAGATTCACATGACCTTGGCCTTTCAATATGACGCAGATCATCACGACCTTTTGATGAAGCTGGCACAGGAAATCAACCTCCATTGTGATGCTTCCTGGGAGATACAAATATATTCTCGACTCCAAGACTTGAAAACTTCAGAGGTAAATTGGAACATTTTTTCTTAAAGTGTGAGAGAGAAGGGATGTGAAGGAAAGATGATAGAGAGAGAGAGAGAGAGAGAGAGAGAGAGAGAGAGAGAGAGGGGGGGGGGTTGGTTGTGGAGGCATTTAGTATATATTCTAGGGTATGTTACCCATTCTAGGACTTTAAAACTGTAGATTATTTTCTTAAAATGTATCTGAATAGATAAGTTTCACTTTCCTTTATCTCACGATGATGATATTACAATCTGTCTTTTTCTCTGAAAGATTGCAGTATCATTCCTCTTTATCTCACAATAAAGATAGTATAATTTTTCTTATCTCACAAGGATAGTATAATTTCTTTTTATATCCAAGGAAGATATCATTCTCTTTATAATCTCCTTGAGATCAAGTGAATAATGAAACTATTAGGCAAATTGTGGGAACGACACCTTGTACTAGATTCATCAAGATTAATCTTGTTAGAATGCCGCAAGATCAAATATCATCACAAGCACTACATCTCAGAAGATCAGCAACAAGAGCAAGAGGACGGTCGCGGAAAACATGGATCCACAACATTAAAGACACTCTACACCTATACGGCATGACAATAGCCAGTGGCAGCCAACGTGCACTGGATCGCAAATTATTCCTCCCCACGACGCTTAACGGCAGAAGTGGTTTCTTATGATGATGATGATTATCTCCTTCTTTGTCTTTACCGGCTGTAAACTCCGGCGAAATTTTATTTTGTTCATCCCACTCCTGGACTTTAGTTTAGATCCAAAATTTGAGTTTTGTTTGCACTTCTGTTTTACATATCAGGCTATTTGTGTGCAGACTGTTGGTTCTCCACCTCTCACGCAGATGCACTTTGACATTTTGAAGAAAACACCTCTAATTATTGACATCCTGAGACATGCTTGTTAAGGGGCAGGTGGGTCTAATCTTTGGTCTCCAGAACGGATCCCTAGAGCCCAGACAGGAAGAACAGGATACAAGAAATACTGAACTTGAAAAGTCTGTCATCGGCGACCAGGTCACGCATAGGCTGGCCAGTAGACGACTTTGTTGCTGGTCAGGACAGTATTTGGGTCTGTCTTCTTTGATTGCAAGAGTTCTTTTTAGCACTACTTGGTGGCGAGCAACGCTAGGTCATTTTTATCTGGTGCAAATAAACCTAGTCACAATTATAACCACAAGCTCCCCTCTTTGGGATACTTGTTGAACATGACGATTTAAAAGGAAATTTTTTATTGCAAATCACGCCAAGTCAAGATTAGTTGGTGACAGCTGTCAATCTTGTTAGGGAAAATAGGGTGGAAGGAGATACAGAGATAAATAAACTGGATTAGTTTTGCTACATACGAGATGGGAATGGGACGGGAGCACTGATATGATCTGGTGATCATATGGTGCGACAACTAAATATGACTGCTTGTGCATGATGATGATAAAACAGAGCTTTGTGACAGTTATGATCTGGATATGAGGATTCAAACATATTGTTTTTTTATGCGTCTGCCAGGTTAGAAGAGTGATACAGAATTACCAGCCTGCTCAGTCGGATGAGCTGCATCTGTTGGAGAATGACTTTGTTTACATGGCCCCAGAGGAGCATGAGCACAGTCCGGATGGTTGGTATAAAGGGACCTCACACCAGACCTGGGATTTCCGCGCTTTTCCCTGGCAATTTTACTGTCAGATGCTCGCAGATGGAGATGTGGACCTTGCACAGGTAACCTTTTTGTATGTTTTTTTTTCTTTTTTTTTCTCTATGCATGACCAAAGAATAAACAAAAAATAACCAGTCAATTTCAATTGTAGAACCCAGTCATAAATTGATTTAATGGGCATTGCAGCAAAAAATGACTTCATCAGCATACAAAGAAACACACACAAAACTGCCATTACTGCTTTTATTTATCACGGAGGGGTGGAAAGGGGGGGGGGGGGGGGGGTCTTTCTACCTGAGGATTTAGGGCCACCTGACTAGTTCAGTCGCCATGGACTATGCAGGTTTGGAATTTATTGTTGCCACAATAAAAAAAAATCCTCAGCCTTACTTAGGATTTGAACCTTGGTCTCTCGCATAAGAGTTGCACATTCTTACCCGTTTGACCAGCCGCTCCTCTCTCCTGCAGTGATATCACTAAATAAAAGATACATGCATTAATCCGTTTGCGATGTAAGAATCTTTAACATGACCAGAAGTGACTGAAATTTCATTAAAAAGAAACGCATCCTTGTAACTCTCATAAACTGTATCCTTAAAATGTAGAGAAAGCGAAGAAGTAGAAGAGAAGGAGAAAGAAAAGAAGAAGAAAAAAGAAAAGGAGCAGGAGAAGTAAAAGTAGTAGTGGTAGTAGTAGCAGCAGCAACAGCAACAGCAGCAGCAGTAGTAGTTTGGAGTCTTGGTCAGTTTTGTTTAAAAAAAGACAAGAGGGTTGAAACCCATGACCACCAAGCAGGAAGCAAGTCTGCTAATTACTGTGTCATCACAGCCTCAAGTTACTAACAAAATAACAATAAAATATTGTTTGTAATTTGAGAGTCTCCGTGGCCGAGCGGTTAGAAGCTCGTCCACAAATCCGAAAGGTCGTGGGTTTGCTCCCTGGAGGAGCCGGACTATTTTTAAAAATGACCTTGGCTCCAGGTTGACCTAGCCTTGAGTGGGTATCAGATGCAGTCCTGGGAAGTAAAGGCGGCCGATGTAATGCTGACCACATCATCCATCTTGTGCCTATTGGTCTATAAAAATATAGGCCTAGCCCTATATGCCCTATACACCTAAAGGCGTGGAAAAGGGTCCTTTACCTTTTTCCCCTTTTTTTTAATTATTGTTTGTAATTTAATCACACTCACACCTGCACGCATTCACACAAATAAAGGACCTTTTCCTCACCCTTCAGTCATATTGGCTTTAAGTACTAGACCTGTATAGTTTCTAGACTAATTGGCGTACGGAAAGAAAAAAAAAATGCAGGCGCTGTTATAATTGTTTGTAATTTCATAACGCACAAAACGTTTTTCTAGCAAGGGATATAATCGCAAAATACAAAAGGAACAAAGAATTAACTGCTTTCACTCCCTTTGACCACTTGGCAGTGATTTTGTTAACATATTAAGGAAAAAAAAAAAGAATTTACTACAAATAATATTTTTTAAGTATTTTGTGTGGGTAAATAAAAAAAATCATAACTTGTTGATAAGGTAAAGGATACTTCTCCACAGCTTCAGCCTTATTGGATATATTATAGGGCTAGACCTATGTTTCATAGACCATATGGCTATTGGTGGCTGATGTGGTCAGCATCAAGCCGGCCACCTTGACTTCCCAGAACTTTACCTGGTACCCACTCAAAACTGGGTCGACCTGGGGAGACAAGATCTTGTTTGAAAAAGTCCGGCGCCGTCAGAACCCAAACCCACGACCTTCCGATCTGCAGGCGAGCGTCTAGCGACTAGATCACGATGGCTGCCATACCTTGGTGGTAGTAGCAAAAATGTTAATGAGAACTTTCTAACATGCTGAAGAAGAAGGTACCTATTTGTGTGGTCATCAAAGTCCTATATTTGCGGGTTTCTCCCTGCTGATCTCCGGAGGGTACAGTCTATTTCGAGTAGGAAGCTCAACATATGGATGGGAAGTTAAGCACTCATTTGCATTTCCTTGGATGAGCCCAAGACAAGAGCATCGTGTGTTGAGAATTTATGGAAGCCTCCTTAGATAGTGGGGATTTCCCATAATCTGTCCTGCCTTGAGAGCAGACCAGTTTACACATGGTTGCTCTGGACGTGTTTTCCCAGGGGCAACACCTGTAGATAAGGAGACCAGTATACAAATAGGGCTACACTTTGTTCCACAAAATTATCCAGGAAGTTAGCCTGGTCAACAAATACTTGATGAAATTGGATGTGTCAGACAAGAAATGCAAATATCGCACCACAATTATGCCACTCAGATGAACAAAAACAAGAACAAGATAATCATAGCTACCATGTCTACACACTATTCAGTTTCACCCAGCCATTACATGAGTAACTCCAGCTGTGCTTATACATGTTCTTCACCAGCAGAGGTTACTTATTGAAATTAGTTTGTAAAACAATGGTTTTTTTTTCCTGCATATGAAAACTCATGAAACACCCTGTTCTTCAGATCTACGCCAGTTCCCAGCCTGGCATCGCACACACACCACAACGGTGGTTGTTTACCTGAACTACCAGTCAACATACAACCAACAACACAGAGTATGGCAACGTCTGGTCACCTGGACCCAACAGGGAAGAACAACTTTATGCAAAAGTCAACAAGCAGAACCAGAACAGAAGCCTGTTGCCGAGAAAACTGTACGTTATCAGGCATGGGGAGCGGTGTGATTTTGCTTTCTTCAGGACGTGGTTTGACAAAAGTTTTGACTCTCAAGGTATGTTTTGTTTTATAACAGTTTTAAGTCACATGGTATGTGAGGTTTGACAAGTGTTGATTCTCAAGGTATGAATGCTTTGACAAATGTTTTGATTGATAAGGTAAGTGTGGTTTGAGAAAAGTTTGGATTGAAAAGGTATGTGTGGTTTGACAAAAGTTTTGATTGACAAGGTATGTGTGGTTTGGCAAAAGTTTTGATTGATAAGGTATGTGTGGTTTTACACAAGTTTTGATTGACAAGACAAGGTATGTGTGGTTTGACAAAAGTTTTGATTGACAAGGTATGTGTGGTTTGACAAAAGTTTTGATTGACAAGGTATGTGTGGTTTGACAAAAGTCTTGGTTCATGTCGTAGGAGTAAACTAATTGGGAGCTTCCGTCCGAGTGCATCTGCCCGAGCGGCAAGGAATAGCTAAATAGACACATAAGCCAGCAAAACAGGTCCTGGCACGAAGTTAAAGAGCAAATGAGCGAGCAACCAGAACTTTCTGACGGAGCTTACTGTCGGTGGACAAAGAAGAAGAAGAAATATTTGAATAAATATAGAATTTGATACATGAATAATTATATATTTTTATATTAGGGCCACACACCAAAAAAAAAACATCCCCCAAAAGTAATCTCTGGATCTTTTTTCAAAGCAGAAATTAATATAAATCCTGGTTCTGTTTTTGGGGAAACACTGTATTTGTTTTCTCTATTCTCCACAGGCACGAGTTAAAGATTTGTTAATAAATGTTTGAAATCTTCCATTACAGGTAACTATAGACGATTTAATCTCAATTGTCCAAAAGCTATGGTTGAACGAGCATCATACCAAGATTTTAACAAGGACTGTCCCTTAACTGTGATCGGGCGAGAGCAAGCAAGAATAACAGGTCTGTAACAGGAGTCTTTGAAATTTTGGTGTGAGCCCCACTCTTCTTTACATTCACCTGATCTAAACTCTGGTGGAAAGTTGTGGTTGTTCATCCACTTCCGAACTTTAATCTTGTTCCAGAACTTGTGTTTTGCATGCACATCTGTTTAACAGATCTAGCTTTTCTGTAAGCAAACTATTGGTTCCTTGGCTCACAGGCAGATGCACTACGATCAAAGAAAACATCCCTAATTTGTTGACATTTACGACTTACTTGTTAGGGAAGCAATGGATCTGTTTTTTTCCCCCTCGAAAATAGGACACCTGAACCCACACTGGAAAATGGAACACCTGGACCCACACTGGAAAATTGGGCTCCTGAACCCACACTGGAAAATTGGACACCTGAACCCACACTGGAAAATTGGGCTCCTTAACCCACACTGGAAAATGGGACACCTGAACCCACACTGGAAAATTGGGCTCCTGAACCCAAACTGGGAGGTTCCATGCAATGTTTTGACTTTTTCGGCTTTTACTTCTACTTCCTCTTCTTTTTTACTCTGATCCTGGAATGCCTCGCGGCATCAGGGCAGGAAGATATTTCTGGAAGGGGTCCTGTTTGCTGTTTTAGTTCTCTGATATTTCTGCACTCCATCTTCTGCGTGGTCAACCTCTTGCTCTGTTACCAATGTATCTGTATAACATTGCTATCTCTGGTGCCCAATCTTGTTACATGACCAAACCATTTGGTTTGTTGTCTGCCTATGACTTTTACTGTCTTGAACAGAAGTGAGAATGTAGTGTTTTCTCAGTCGTCACTAGCAGAATGTGATTGAAGTATTTTCAAAGCTTTGCCTTCACTAGAAGTTTTCCAATCATTATCTACACAAATTATTTGTTGTGTATTATTCTTTTAAACGATTAGATAAATGATGTTTCATTGTTTAGAAATTTATTAAATATGCGATGTTCCAGCTGAGTACGGTGTGGAAGAGAAAAATCAGCATTGCAGTAAAGGTCATTATGAACAGATCACTGGTATTGCCTATCTTCTTATACGGATGTAAGAGTTGGACTCTCACTGTGGAAATAGAATAGATTCAGGCTTTCAAATGTAAATAAAAGTAAAAATGTAAAGATCTCTTTTCACGCCTTTAGGCGTATCGGGCATATGAGAAGAGCACCCCATATTTTCACAGACCAATCGGTACTGGGTGGGTAATGTGGTCAGCATTACACTGGCCGCCTTTACTTCCCCAGTACATCCATCCTGGTACCCATTTCAGGCTTGGTCGACCTGCGACGCCACATACCACGATAAAAATCTACACAACCAGCAGTGGGTTTCGATCACAGTATGCTGGAATTATGAGTCGGACTCGCAACACCTAAGCCACATACGCTGCTTCGAATGTAAATGCTGTAGACACATTTTATGAATTAGTTATTTAGAACATAAAACTAACACATATGTCAATCAAAATATACAAATTTGTGGGACATCAGGAGCCTCTCTTGGTAGTGGTAAAATGTCGCAAGCTAGCTAGGTTTAGGCATGAGATAGGGCATTATTCGATTGTTAGAAACTGTACTTCAAACAACATTAGGGGTAGTCAAACTAGAGGCGGGAAAAAAAGACACTGGAATGACAATGTAAAGAAATGGACAGGACTAAACTATTTGTTCAACACGTGGAAGACAGAGAAAGATGGCAGGTTTTGGGTTTTAGTGCTTCCATCAATACACCTCCACAACCCTAATTGGTCAAGGGTTATGTTATGTTATAGTTATTATACTGAATGGAAGAAGTTATATTTATGTTTATTCCTAATCGACAGATCTACATCAAGACACATGGGTGTAACCCATAAGTGCCCCTTTCTACTTGTAACTCAAGCTTAAGTCTGAAGAATCTCAGCGCAATGCATGAACTCCATTGCATCGGCATGGATCCTGAAATGCTTTGGGTAGATTTTCAGCTCCAAATTTTGCAGGGGCAGTGCCGTTAGGCTTTTCTTTCGATTTGCAGCTGCCAAGGGATTTTTTATGTTTGCATGGGTACACATGGGCGTCCGATCTTACTACCTAGAGACCAGGAGCAATTACTAGAATTAAACATGAAAAAATCCCAGCCTTCGCTGGGGCTTGAACCCGGGACCTCCAGCACTCGAGGCGGACACCATACCTCGAGAACACTCAGCCCCCTTAAGAAGTTATATTTTTTATACTGAATGAAAGAAGAAAACACTTTTTTGAGCTCATATGTATGTGTGTGCCTCTCTCTCTCTCTCTGAAGGTGAAGCTTTACGTGAAGCCGGTGAGTCCATCTCACATGTATACTGCTCTCCTGCTCTTCGCTGTGTGGAGACGGCCGCTGAGGTCATGAAAGGTGAGTGTGTATTGTTATATCGGGTTTCTCTGTGTGATGGTGGTGTAATTGTTTGGCAGAATTTAGAGGTACAACATACTGGAAGACAAACTCAAGGATGGTTTGTACAGATGCAAGAACTCCGTAGCAGTGGTGAATTTCTTGAGAAAAATAAAAATAAAAAGACTCCTGGTCTGTGTTCTGGCACAGATAATCAAACAAGAAGTTTAAAGTTTAAACAATTAATCAACATCATGGCACATGGGTAGTAACCCATAAGTGCTCCATTCTTTCTTCTAACTCAAGTCTGAGTCCGAAGAAGCTCAGCACAGTGCACAGGCTCTGTAGCACCGGCAAGGATCCTGAAATACTTAGGATAGATTTTTAACACCAAATTTTGCCCGGGCAGCGCCGTTCGGCTTCTCTTTTGATTTCCAAATGCCAAGGAATTTTTTTTTACGTGTGCAACAATACACGCAGGCGTCACTACCCAGAGACAAGAGGAAATACTAGAAGTCCAAGACCACATGAAAAAATCCCAGTCTTCACCGGGGATTGAACCTGGACCCTCTAGCACTCAAGGCCGACACTATGCCTCAAGATCACGCAGCCCCCTAGATAATCAAATATTAAAGATGAAAACTGTCTATTTCTTACAAGAAAATAAAAGCTCTCTAAAGTGAAAATGAAGCAATTATGAAAGGTCACTGCCAACTCTTGGCCACTTCTATTTGTTCATTTCAGATGTTATTAATGTGTGGTTTTATAGCAGTTCTGGGTACAACAAGCTACAGTGGCAAGCAGACGTGCCATGGATCATGATGATATACTGAATGCTCCGCAAGAAATAAGATGTTTGCGAGAACCAAATGATAACTGAAACTGCAACCATGACCTGCCTGCTAGAACAGCATGGTAAAACTTGGTGTGACCAGACAAGAGCATTAGGCAGGAAGACAAAGATGAGTTGAGTTGATTCAAGAACCGACATCACAGCACTTGGGGCATCCCATAAGCGCTCAGTCCCCATCCTCAGCAGCCAGTGAAGAGTTCCAATACTAATAGTGCCAGTAGCATTCTGATCAAATGTCTGTCTTGCCTTTCCTCTCAGCCTCGAGCATCTGCCAGAATCTCTCGTCACTCCCCACTACATCAATCTCACCAGACTATGGTGATCAGTCTGCTCCTCGGAATTGTACACGCTCTCCCACAAGACACTAACCACATCTGCTTTATCATGCATCAGTATTCCACCAAGTACAGAACCAGCCAGTCAGTCCAGCAGTTCATTTCCCAACACACTGGCAAATCCTGGTGAAAAAATCCAGACAATACTTCTTACCCGTGTCCTCCGGACAAAGTTGAATGAGAAACCAACACAGATCACAACATTCGAGATAACCAGGATCCACTGGATGGCAAGTTGTTCTTCCCCACAACGCTTCATGGCAAAGAAAATTATGATTATTAATGATAATGAGATGATCATTTCATAATTTCCATTTAGCCTTTGGTAATCGGATGCCAACATCACAGTATTTGTGAGTATTTGTACGGCCCAAGCGAAAGAAATTGTTTAATTTTCCACTTCATTTATGTTGAAAATATTGTTTGCCTTTGTCACCCCCCCAACCCCCTTCTCAATTTTTGTTAATCTACGTAAATAAATGGTTCAGAGACCTATGTGTTTTTAAAACAGATTTGTCAAAAATTTCTATGTTCATGAGTTTTTACTTAAAGAGTACTAAAGGTTAAATCTGTAGCCATATTTCTGACTCTTCATGTATGTGTGGGGTTCTTCATGCAACATATTAATCGCTTACCTACGCACATATATTTTGTTCTTTCCTCAGCTTACGGATTCCGGGGTAAAATGGTTATCGAACCATCTTTATTTGAATGGTGTGGGTGGTACAGACCCATCTTACCAAACTTCATGACCCCACAGGAGCTTGTGAAATGTGATTTCCCAGTGGACACCACATACAGAGCGTACGTAAACGTGGAGGAGATCAATGTTCTAGAATCTGTTGAGGACTATTATATGAGGTCGTATAGTGTCACACAGTACATTCTAGGAAAGCATAAACCAAATGGTGAGTAATCAGTTATTCTCACATGTTATAAAATCTTATCCTGATGTATAGACAGTTGGATGATTAGCCACAAATGATGTGGAAGCAGCGGAGATGTGGTTTTATAGAAGAATGATAAGAATACCCTGGAAATAGTAATGAAGATGTCGTGGGAGAAAACTTGACTGTCAAGAGAACTGATGCCCACATCAGAAGGAGACATTCTAAGTTCTTTGGTCTTGTCATGAGAAGGAAAAAAAAAAACTAGAGTACATATTTGGCGGTGGGAAAGTTGGAGGGAAAAAGAAACAGAGGGAGACAGAGAGAGAAGATACTCAACAGTTTGACATTATGGCTTGTAGATCATCTGTGTTAGAAAAAATTGAAAGCATACAAGAGAGCATGTTGTGGATAGACATGACTGCATGGCATGGAGGTTCATCTGTGTTAGGATAGATTGAATGTATACAAGAGAGCATGTTGTGGATAGACATGACTGCATGGCCTGGAGGATCATCTGTGTTAGGATTGATTGAATGTATACAAGAGAGAAGGTTGTGGATAGACATGACTGCATGGCATGGAGGATCATCTGTGTTAGGATTGATTGAATGTATACAAGAGAGAAGGTTGTGGATAGACATGACTGCATGGCATGGAGGATCATCTGTGTTAGGATTGATTGATTGTATACAAGAGAGAAGGTCGCGGATAGACATGACTGCATGGCATGGAGGATCATCTGTGTTAGAAATGATTGAATGTATTAAAGAGAGAAGGTTGTGGATAGACATGACTGCATGGCATGGAGGATCATCTGTGTTAGAAATGATTGAATGTATTAAAGAGAGAAGGTTGTGGATAGACATGACTGCATGCCATGGAGGATCATCTGTGTTAGGATAGATTGAATGTATACAAGAGAGAAGGTTGTGGATAGACATGACTGCCGACGCCACATGGCATGGACTGTTAAAAAGTTATGCTCTATTCCTTTTAAGTCTTTTTTTTTTAACCACAGTTTTTGTTTCTCTAGTATCTGCCATTTTCTCTGCATCATCATCATCATCATTATCATGTGCCTTGCCGACTGGCGTGGGCGATCATGCCTCTCCACAATCTGCGATCTCCTGCATGTATCAGTTCGTGTGCTGAGACACCTGCATGCCATGCAACAGGACTGTCAACAATCTTCTCTTGTTGTCTTCTTCTGTTCTGTGGTCACAACATGCTCCATTTTCCCTCTTCTCATAACATGGCTTTCTCTGCATATCTCTTCAGTTACAGCCAATTAGCCCTCATGATGCCAGTGATTAATAGTGATTTAAACATGTTATGAATATCTTTTAACCCTAACCATGCTAGATTGAGTTAATAATGATACTATCAAACAAATTGTGGGAACTACACCTTATACTAGCTTCATAAAAAAAGCAGCAGATCAAGTGGTTTGGCCATCTCGTTAGGATGCAGCAACATCAGTTACCATTACAAGCACTATATCTTATAAAATCAGCTACAAGAGCAAGAGGTCGACCACAAAAAACATGGATTAAAAGCATTAAAGATGCTCTACATCCTCATGTCATGACAGTATCCAGTGGCAGCCAGCATGGACTTGATCACAAATTATTCCTCCCCATGACTCTTAATAGCAGAAGTGGTTTATGATGATGATGATGAATTTCATTGTTGCTTCTCACTCTCCAGTTCTGCATCTTTGATGTAAATGAGAGCATGGCTTGCTGAACAGTTAAGAATGCTGGGCCCTCGTGTAGGAGGTCAAGGGTTAAATCCTTGGTAACGTAATGTTTTTTTTCAATGTCAGGAGCAAAAATAAAATACTGACTGGCATAGTCCGTGGCGACAGCACTGGCCCTGTGGTGACAGGGCTCCTCTCGCTTAAAGCCAGCCCAGTCTTAACCGCAAAAAGCGGTAAAGACACACAGCAGTGGCAGTTTTTTGTGTGTGTGGGTGGGTGGGTGTGTGATTGTGTGTTTGTTTGTATGTGTGTTTGTGTTTTATGTGTTGGGTGGGTGTGTGTGCGTTTATGTGTGGGTGTTGTGGGCACCTGTTTGTGTGTGTGTGTGTGTGTGTCTGTTGTTTATTTTATGGCAGATGCAAATGAAGATGGATCATCATCATCATCATCGTCATCAGGTGCCTTGCCGACTGGCTTGGGCGATCATGCCTCTCCATAATCCGCGATCTCCTGCAGCATGTATCAGTTCATGTGCCGACACACCTCCATGCCATGCAACAAGACTGTCAAGCATCTTCTCTCGTTGTCTTACTCTATCTCTCCTTCCACATATCTTTCCAGTGGTCACAAGATGTTCCATTTTCCCTCTTTTCATAACGTCGCCGAAAAATTATGACTGTCTACTTCTGATGTCCGTGATAAGTTGTCTTCGGGCTCCCGCCTCTTTCAAAACCTCTTGGTTGCTCTTTTTGGCTGTCCAAGAAAATAGAAGATGGATAGATACCTTATTTAAATTTTATAGAAAAATGAAAATAAATCATTTTTGTTTAATGTTTTTTCAAATTTAAAATTCCTGACAGAAGGCAACATTCTCCTGGTTGGTCACTCAGGGACCTTAGACGCCTGCACCCGACAGCTCACAGGAAAACCAGTGCGCAACTCTGAGGAATTCCGCAACATAGTCCGAGGCTGCCCCTACTGTTGCCTGTGTACGGCCGTTGAGAGTTCCTCATCCGGTAAATGGGCGCTGGTAGAGCCGCCAATACCTCAGCTCACACACGGAGCAAACAGCAAGGATTACTGCTGGGAGAACTTGCAGAATTAAACATTGATCCTGTCTGAGTGATCAGCTTGAACTGTGCTACAAATTACATCTGTATTTCAGAGCTGACCTTTGACTTTGTTTTAATGATGACTTTGAGCGGTGCTACAGCATTAACCTTTTATGGTATTTCAGAGCTAACCTTTGACCTTGTTTGTGATAACTTGAACTCTTGTTAAAGTAAGAATCTGCAACCCTAGGTCAAGTGTGAACCTTGAACCCTTGTCTAACTGTAAACCTAGAACCTCGGTTTAATTGATAACTGTGGACCCTTGTTTAAGTGATAAACTTAAACCCGTGTTTAATGAAAACCTTGAACCCTTGTTTAAGTTATAGCCTTGAAGCATTGTTTAACTGATACTGTTGAACGCTTGTTTAAATGTGAACCTTCAACCTTTGTTTTAATGTGAACTTGACCTCTTGAGTGTGATCCTTGAACTCTTGTTTAAGTGTGAACCTTGATGCCTTATTCAGCTGAGATCCTTGAGCTGTTGTTTAAGACATAACTTGTCTAAGCGATAACCTTTAACCCTTGTTTAAGTGATAACTTTTAACCCTTGTTTAAATAATAACTGTGATCTCTGCTGCAGCATTAAAATGTACCTGCACTTTAAAGCTTTTGATCTGCGACCTTATCTTACTTTTTCATTTTTTCAATGAGAGCAGCTGTTATCCATATGCAGCAACCCTCGTGATCTGATTTCATGTTTGGGTTCTTTATTATCCTCCTACAGATATAATCCATGTCTGGATTATATTGTCAAAGAATGGTTCAGCCATCCAGAGAGAATGCAGCGAGGCCAAACTTCATATGCCACACAAGAAGCGCAGAACAAGTGCAGAAAATAACAACACTGGGCTACAACCTGGTAACAGTGAGACGACAAAAGAAGCACAGGACAAATACAGAAAATAATAACACTGGGCTACAACCTGGTAACAGTGAGACGACAAAAGAAGCACAGGACAAATACAGAAAATAACAACACAGGGCTACAACCTGGTATCAGTGAGACGACAAAAGAAGCACAGGACAAATACAGAAAATAACAACACTGGGCTACAACCTGGTAACAGTGAGACGACAAAAGAAGCACAGGATAAATACAGAAAATAACAACACAGGGCTACAACCTGGTAACAGTGAGATGACAAAAGAAGCACAGGACAAATACAGAAAATAACAACACAGGGCTACAACCTGGTAACAGTGAGACGACAAAAGAAGCACAGGACAAATACAGAAAATGACAACGCAGGGTTACAACCTGGTATCAGTGAGACGACAAAAGAAGCACAGGACAAATACAGAAAATAACAACACAGGGCTACAACCTGGTAACAGTGAGACGACAAAAGAATCACAGGACAAATAAAGAAAATGACAACACTGGGTTACAACCTGGTATCAGTGAGACGCCAAAAGAAGCACAGGACAAATACAGAAAATAACAACACAGGGCTACAACCTGGTATCAGTGAGACGCCAAAAGAAGCACAGGATAAATACAGAAAATGACAACACTGGGCTACAACCTGGTATCAGTGAGACGACAAAAGAAGCACAGGACAAATACAGAAAATGACAACACTAGGCTCTAACCTGGTATTAGTGAGACGACAAAAGAAGGTGAAGAAGAGTTGAGGGAAATATATCATCTTCAGGAGTAAATATGTAGAGAACTAAGCTTCACACCATTTTCTGCGCACAATGGAAAAAAGCATCCCACACAAAATCCATAGCTCACAGTAGCGCACCAATACTAACTTCGATAGCCAGGTGGTGGAACATTTGGACTTCCAGTCTAGAAATGGGGAATTTGCATCTGCAAAACTTAGGTAGAAACAAATAACTTTTTAGAGTATTTGTGGTCATAATGAAGACTGGCTACAAAGGACCCACAATATTTTCGATGTCATTATTATTGTACATTCTCTGATATTGTTGTTCAGCCATGTTTTGATGTTTTTTTACCATTTGCATCATTGTCTACTATTTCCTTTTTTTAAACTTCAAGTTGTGTGTTTAACTGCTTTGAAATAGAATGTGAAACTTTCCAGCTACCCTTCATGAAGCTTCAAATTTTTAAATTGTGTAGTGTGTACTCTGGTCTTTAGTTTATTCTTTATGTCTATGATCAATACCTGCAAATTTATTTATTAAATTGTAAATTTTTATTAGACAACCGGAATTTGTTTTCTTTGTTTCTCTAAAAGGCAGCCATTATAACCCATTGAAACACTTCTTATCCAGCATACAGTCTCAGTGACCCAATCAACCTCCTTACTCTCCCGTGTGGGTTCCAGGGTCCTAATGTGGAGGAAAACAAGAATAGACTCACCACCTTCCTAATAAGTGTGTCGTAAGAATCGACTGAGTGGGGGCTTCCTTCAAAGTCGGAGGTATCGGTCTGAGAAGCAAGGAACTAACAGTCTGCGTACAAATAGGCAAGGTCTATATAATGGATACACACGCATACTCAGGTCTATGAACAAAGTCAAAGTCCAGAAACGGACAAACAACCAGGTCTTTCTGTCGATGCCTACAGCGGGTAAATGCAAACAAAGACACAGCAACCTCCTCTCACAAAAAGCAGCAGATCATTGTATTTAGATTGGACACACCAGTCTCCACAGCTACGTATATAGGAAGTACAAGACTGGAGACTTCAAAATGTGCCTATATGGACAAGCACAACAGAATACTGAATTCATGTTGCAGACATGCTCTCTGCATGCATTAGGGAGAGAGAAGGTCGGGAAAGTTAGCATTCCAAAAGAATCTAGGCTGAATGGATCAGTGGATTACATCAGATTGGCCTGTGCTTTATTAATATTCTATCCCAAACAGGAGAAATCCACAGGTCATGGGACAGTCTAATATTTCAGGGGGTGTGAGGATTTCAGTTTCGTGGAAAATATTTTTTTACTGAATAGACTGCATACCCTGGGTGTACCAATTGGAGCCGCGAGATAGGAAAACCATGCGGGAGCCACCCGTCGTTACATCAACCAGAACAGAATGGGAGTTGTTAGCCTAAAAACACTGTGAGAAATACTCAGCAAGACATCGGAGACCTTGTGGTCATGTTCCATGTGCTTTGATGATGATCGTTAGACAATCTCAGAAGGTGGGCCGACCTGGGTCATGAAGCCAGGCCTCGATCTTCTCCTGCTGCATTTTTACCGGATTTTCTCGGACAGGGATGAGACGATATGGTAATTTGTAACAGGTGTTGTGAGAATTATTGGGATTTGTCGCTGCGGTAGCAAATTAGATCAGTCGACTACCTTACGGCCATGGTGACAACCTTTCAGTTGGTTCATCAGACAGGTGTTAGACTTGGCAATTAGACTCTGGCAGTTGACAGAGAGACACTGGCAGACATTTATCGGACACTTTGGCTTTTACATGGATAAGAAGCTCTTTTCCACTAGGGACTCAGACCGGTCTACCGAGGCCTATCCCCTACGACCCTCCGTTGCGTCCAGAACTAGTTCACAGCTCTTTCAGCAGCTTAGCCTAGTTGTTTTAGTGAAAGTTTACGCTCATTTCCTCACAAGCCCAGCTGCTTTAGAACATTGTACATGGACGTGGAGACAAGACCTCATGCGCCTAGATTTAAACATTCAGACTAGGCTTTTGTGAGAAAAAAACTAAAAACTTGAACAGTTTTTCATTAGTTTCACATAGAGAGCTTCGAGCAAAACAGACCACTTAAGACGCCTTGGTCATCCACTGCACCTAGGTCCATTTCCAATCGTCTCCATATTGTCCTGCCATTTGATCAAGGTGGAGAGAGTGAGGTAAACGAATTGCACAGCTCTTCCTCACTTAAATCAAAGTCCTTGCACAAGTCATTTTCGAGGCTCATCTTGGACTAATCAGCCATCTTCGTACTCATAACTATTGAGTATTACAACAGTCTCTAAAAAGTACCAGGTGTGGCAGCAGTTAGCTGAAGATGTCAGCACATAAGTCTGCTGGGATCAGATCAAAGGAATCTGGAATGAATCTTGTGTAGAAGTTCTCGGCAAGAAAGAACGGAAACATAAAGCGTGCATAACACCCGACAATTTTGGATGAAAAGTGGTTTTCGTCACTCGTGATTTACGAACACACAGTTTCTTACATATTCGAATGTAATATGGATTATTTGTCCCAATTTTTCCTTTTAGATTTGAAATCATCATTCTACGAGGATGAATTAAACATTTTCATTGATTCCTATTTAGGGGGCATGGTGCCTGCCTCGAGTGCTAGAGGTTCTAGGTTCAATTTCCGGTAAGGGCTGGGATTTGTTCAAGTGGATTTGAACTTCTAGTAATTTCCCCTGGTCTCTGGGAGTGAGATCGGACGCGCGTATGCATTGTGGTGCAAGTAAAACAAAAATCCTTGGCAGTGGGAAATCGAAAAGAGTAGCCTGACGGCGATGTCTGGGCAACATTCGGAGTTAAAAATCTACCCAAAGTATTTTAGGATCCTCGCCGGTGCTACAGATCCTGTGCAATGTGCTTAGCTTCTTCGGACTCAGACTTGAGTTAGAAGAAGAAAGGAGCACTTATGGGTGACCACCCGTGTGACATGATGTTGATCCGTTGCTCAATACCTCAAAATCCATTTTTTTTAAATATAGGGAAATATCTATGCAACCCCAAGCAATCAACTCATTTGATATGGATGACGTCAGCAATCGAATTATTTGTTATTAGTAATTTAAATTTACATCTTATCCTTGTTTAGTACTTGGAATTTACCTAAAAATAAGAAGTCTTACTAAGATCCATCAGCGATGCAAAAAATGGAGAGTGAGAGACAAGAACGAAATTCATAATTTATTTAAATCTCCATTAAGTACTAACATCTCTAGGGCTAATAGACTGCAATGACGTCCGGTCTAAAATGGAGGACTATACATTACAGAATGTCAAGCTTCGAAAAAATGTTTGCTTCCGATAGCTCTTTGCTAATGCGGTATCTACAATTTTGGGGAAACCCGATT